TAAGTTCTTGGAAATTACGGACAGTAAACCGGAAGTTGAATTCCTCCAGGCTATCATTTCCTTCCCTACCAATTTAGCCTGATGACGTCGCATTAACACTCCTCATTACGTATTATCCGATATCGACTTCAGCGTGTAAATGCGCTGAAACTTGAGTAAATATTCAACTTGACGTGTACATACAACTGAACGGGAGTCTAGATTGCAGGGGGCTTAAAAGCTTTCAGCCAGCTTTATTAACAAGTCAATAAAACCGATGTTCATTTTTAGCCTCCATGAGGCATTGATGCAGTCTATTCGGATACCCAGGGAGATGCAATCGGAGCAATGACTCAAACAATCAATTTTAAATCATACGCATCTGCATCGAGCGAGAAAAATTCTTCACCCACAAATTGCAGTCGGTTGCAATAAAGGCGCGTGAATGCATTTAAATTTTCGTGACTGATAATCATAATTTTTGTCGACCCAGGAATATTTTCGCCCATCACCGCGCAGTATCTGCTCTGCGTCATATCGCCTGATCGCTGGGAAGCAACAAGCTCTCAATTCGGTCGCATGATCTGGGCGTTTTCTTGGAACTTTTGAAACCGCCTCGCGCGGTTTTCTTCGAAATTTGCATCATTTTTCAACGTGGGCGCGACGGGGCATGGATGAAGCCGGTGAGGTCGGAAATGCTTCTTTCAATTTGCGACGTTGCAGATTTCTTGGCCCACTTTATTTTCTCAGAAGACAATCAACTGACATTAATTCGTTGGATTTTCGCTGGTTTTTTTTTCTTAATCTTTCTCGAGATGTTTTGTGAAGATGTCATAACAAAAAACTAAATTCGTTCACTCCTCTTTAGGAAAATGAAGCAGCCCAATTTCATAATCGAGGTACGTGTTTCCTTACTTTCGCCTGACATCGTTGCGTTGATTTCCCTCTCTATCGGTCGTGACGTCACAGAGAGGGGTTCTCGTCGGTCTGGAAAACCTGGAATTTCTGGGAAATTCAAGGAATTTGCTACGACTAGGGAAAGTTAAAGAAAGTCAGGAAATGCGTAGGAAAAGTCACACAACAAGTTATTCGACCGTATATCCACTGTCCATTCTACCGTGCTAAGGAAAAACGCCGTATGAGCCTTCAGACGTTGCCAAGTTTCCTCCGATAAATACCGAATTTACTGGGAAATTGTGAATATCATTTTCCAAAATTTTCAGACGAATTTGTACGCAATTTAATCTAAAATATCTAAAAAATTCAAGGAAAAATAACCATGAAGGTTGTCAACAATACATGTTTTATCAAAGGAAATTTGGCAACTCTCGAATGATCATACGGCGTTTGTCCTCAGCACGGCAACATTGGACACACCCGAGTGCTTTTCTGAAGTCAAATCCTTCGAAGCGGAAATTTCGTCCAAAGTTTAGCGAAAGTCTGCCGGAAAATAGGAAGAAAAAAAATTAAGAAATTTTTTTCTTTAGAACTCAGGGTAAGTCAAGGAATTTGGAAATGAAGAAATTTCTAAAGAAAGGGATTCTCCAGGGGCTTTTATATAAACTATAACATTGCCCTTGACAATGCTATCAATGAGATTGAATCTATATGTATCGATTTTCTGTGACGGGTACGTCACACTAATAGCGCCGATTTCCTAGCAGCTCGTTTATTTTCTCGTTTTGAAGCAAGCTCTCTGTGGCGAAGTTTTGATCTTTATCTGGATACCCTGGAATGCCAGTGAACTACGCAGTCCTTCTGGAATTTCCGTTGCCACCTTCGACATTTATTTACCTCTCTCATAATTGCGTCTTTCATTACGGGTTATTTCCATTCTACGATTCCCTTTTCTTCCTTATAGTACATTTAAATGTGAATACTTTTCGTACTTATACACCCGTAGTTGGTCAGTATGAACAAGTGGCTTCCCATAAATCAACAGAGGAAATCAATTGTCTCATGTGCGTACTACCTAAGTTATCCATTCAATCAAGAATTTTTTTTTATTTTTTAAAAGTACGTGTGCGATTGTTTACGGATGAGGGTCTGTAACATTTAATCACTCCTATTTGAGCAATCGGTAATACTGAGAGAAAGTTTTTTCGTCCTAAATTCCGACTGCGATTTGGGCGTTATCCAAAACCGTAAACCTCAACAGTGAGAAATGCATAGCCATGATAATACCTATAAGTGAAAATACCTGAATAAAGGAAAACTTAAAATAGAACATACGTGCTTTTTGCGGCTTTTCAACGCCTTACCTAGGATTCTATGCGAGGAATGAACTTAAGGCCGGCCTCTCTACACAATTCGTCATCGATTAGTTTTACTCATCTGAAACGAATGTATGAAGTCAAAACGCCTTCATTTTTGTGCGTATGCCACACCGACGTTCGTGGAGGTCGAATAGTTGCATTCAGGCGTCACAAAGAAATTCGTTCAGTTTTCGTCGCATGCGACACTAAGGGATGATGCTACATTACTACTTTGCTTGTCTCTCTCACACCTAAACTCAATTCCAGCGTTTGCTAGTCTGCCCTTAAAGTAAACTATTACTGGTTTTTATCGCGAAATTGTCAATTTTCCGAAAAATGTTTTGATTGTTTTATTTTCATCACTTCGTCAAAAGCTTGCTATACCCTTAGTTAAAATTAGGTGAAACTTTAAGTCATTGATTTTGAGAATTATAAACTTCCAAAAGTCTGTTTAGGCTTAAATACCATCTGTTAATTCGCTAAATATATAATAAAGCCAGACAATGTATCCTAAACCCTGGTAAAAATTGGCGATAAGAGCTGCGTTTCAAAATACCATAGTAATTCTTATAGCCGGCTAAAAAAGGCCACAGAAAATCATATAGCTGGCTGTAGAATGCGGAGAAAATCATACGGCCGGGCTATACGGAGCTATACTATTATGCAGCCGGGCTATAGTTCCTATAGCCGGGCTTTACACTTTATCGCCTGGCTGTTTCTTTTTCGCCATCGATTATAAAAGGCTAAAGGAAATTGTGTAGAAATTCGTGTGCTTTCGAAATCATTAAGTTTGATACGGAACCACCTTAATATTTACAAAACACACGTTATATTTTCCTTTAACACAAATTTTTTTTTTTCATCACTTAAAACGAGAATAATCCATACAGGATGTGCAAACATTTCAAAATCATGAGTTGAATAACGCTGACTCCGCCAGATTAAATATTAGAGCCTAACACAAAGCAGAGCGGCGACGCACAGGCGCCTACAAACCTAACAGGGATACTTCACGCATTGCGCAACGCGTGAAGTATCCCTGTTAGGTTTGTAGGCGCCAATGCGCGTTTTGCGCTGGCTGCCCGCCTGCCGCACCGCAGCGTGCCACGGCGCTTCAAGCAACGTTTTTACCCCAGAGGTATTGCACAGCATCATACGAAACTGAAGGCGCTCTAATATATTAGGAATGGCAGGCATCCATTAAAAGTACGGAGCTTTCCTCGCAAAATAAATCAAGATTCTACGGCCCAAAAAGAGAGCAGTGGTCCAAAAACTCACTAAGTCCTAGCATCCGTAATTAGTGACGTTTAGCATACACTTTATCGCCTGGCTGTGAGTTGCTTAGTTGCCATCGGCTTTAAAAGGCTATAAGAAATTGTGTAGCCGACTATAGAAGCTATTGGAAATCTTACAGCCGGCCGTAGGTCTATGGTATTTTGGAACACAGATTCTACTGCCAATTTTTACCAGGGAGGTGATATAACTTGATAATAAATACATCGCATATTCCCCGAAACCTGTAAGGGTTTCTCTCCAACTTCATAAACGCTAACCAAGAGATATAGTCGAAAGAGATGTGCCCTATAAAGTTTAAGTCTTCGCATTCCCCATCAAGAACGTTTAGATAACGAATAAGGTATTTTTCCTTTTCATTTAAGGGAGGGGGGGGGGCATACAGGGAAGGTGACTACGAATCTTTGCATCCCTCGCCTATCCGAGCCGCTGCGAAGTTTTTCGTTTCTCAAATTTTCACGCCCCTCGTAATTCTGCCTCCACCCCCCTCTGCTGCCTGGCAGGGGCGGCAGGGGCGAAAGTTACGCCACGGGGGCCATGTTTCTAGATACATCTTTCCATGTTGCTGCCAACATGAATGAATCTATATGATGATGTGCCCACGTGTCTTGGCGATGCATACACGGTGACTTTTTCGAGTCCCGGCCAAATGACATAATTTGCGCCGTTAAGAGTTATCTGCCTTGAATCTCGATTCATAGATTCTTATCAGGGCTTTATATCCTTTTGTCCTTTGCATCCGCTAGAGAACGAGTCACCAATTTTATTTCTGTTTAATTACATTCTGGAATGCTTGGCTCATTTCCGTTGAGCTATTTTCTGAGCGGAATTTTTTTCAGATTTTCCTCGTGACGTCTGAGTAGACCTCGAATGCTGCAAATTCAAGCTCGCATAGAGCGGGAGTGTAATTTCACTTAATTGTGAGTCTTGAATGAATCGAAATGCCATCGAAGGGGGAGAAGTTTTGATAAGGGAGCAGTCAATATAACAGGCCTAAATTGACCTAGGTCAAATTAGCTTTTCAAGTTTTAGCAGAAAAGTTTTGCCATGGTGATTATAATTTGTAGTAAGGAGGATTATTTCGCTTTTGATGCATCATGCTACCGTGCTAAGGAAAAACGCCGTATAAACGTTCAAGAGTTGCCAAATTTCCTTTGATAAAATGTTCATTTTTTGGGAAAAGTTATGAATAATCTCCCTTGAAATTTTCAGGACTTTTTAGCAGAATGGTGAGAAAAATTATCTGAAAAATTGGAAGATGTTTCGAATAAAGAAGAATTCTGCGGAAAAATTTTGTCAATTTGAGGTACTGGAAAGTACTGAAATTTTCCGTCGAGAAGGTACTGAATTTCTTGGGAATGTTCTGAAAAAGTACCGTTAAAGTACTGATTTTTAGCCAGCGTGTTTTAGTAGACACCTTGATTATTTTAGGAGTGTTTGATTGATGAAGCATATCTTTCTCTTTGTTGACAGGTACAAAATGGTTCGCGGGATCAAATGGGTTGACGAAGTGGTGGAAGGAGCCCCTTACGTTACCACCCTGGAAACCCTAGACAAACACAAGTGCGATTTCTGCGTCCACGGAGGTAAGATTCCCATCTTCCGCTCCCCTGTCGGGAGCTTTCTTGCTCCGTGAAATTCGGAGAAGCCGCACGAATGAACTATGAACCGCGGGGGTGTTATGGATTTTTTCACCCCGCAAAAAATTGCGTGAGGAAGTTAGTGAAGACTGCGCGATTCGTCCCACAAAGCTCCATTACCAGCACTGCCGTGCTAAGGAAGAACGCCGTATGAACCTTCAGGCGTTGCCAAATTTCCTTCGATAAATCTAAAATTTTCGGAAAAAATTGTAATTATTTTCCCTCCAACTTTTCAGATAATTTTGTTCACACTTTCATTGAAAGTTCCTGAAAATTCTAAGGAAAAAATTTCATAACTTTCTTCTAATATGACTATTTTCTGAGAGGAAATTTGGCAACTCCCGGATGTTCATACGGCGCTTTTCCTTAGCACAGCAGAGTAGACGACATTCCTTGCAAAGGGGGCAAAGATGCCGGAATTTCGTGAAGAGAGCGTGATTATGTAAATGGGGGTTGAGATTGATATTGATCACTTTATCGAATGGTTCGCGACTAAAGTACTATTTGCGTGGGGGACAGGGGATGGTCGCAGTTGCCCGGACAAGTGTTTTTTTTCTTTTCTGATGAAGTTACAGAAGTATAAAGATTTCTTCTATCAACTGGAACGGACTGGCTCCAAATTTTCGTAGGGCTGGGCCTAGCCAATGAGAGATTAAGGGCCCTCTTTGATTACATAAGGGTTCGAAAAGGGTCTTCAAAAGCTCCTCAAAGAGTGCCGAATGAGCCTCAAAATTCTGCCCAAATGAGCCCCCGCGAGGTCATTTTGTTCAGCGTTTAGGGGGAGATTGCCCTCACAACCTCCCCCCCCCCTCCAACCAGTCTGGCGGACTTCCTACAGTAAAGACTCAATTATAGTTTCATGGACATTTATAACAGGCGAACTGATGGTTTGTTTGAGTCTGCTTAACGTAAAACATGAAAGAAAATAGTGAGCAAGCGTCAGATGGGAATACTATAAAACCTCTTCCAGACACCAGATGATCGTTAATTTTTCGATTGCATTCCGCATTCTGTAAAACGGGGATTCTAGGCCAAGTTTGTAGTGCTATACGCTCGTGCTACGAATGCACAAATAAGAGGGCTAGGAAAATTTGCACGCATTAATTTTGAATCCGGGACCAGAAAAGAGAGTCTATAAAGTGCTCCAGGGAATGAGTGCAAGAATAGATCGTATTCGATGCATCAAAAAGGTGAGAATGTATCGATATAGATTGGTTCAACATAGGGCCGGATTTTCCTACTTGCCGCCCATGGGCCGCCTGTATTTTGCCGCCCCCTTCTCATTCGTTTTGAAACATCAAAAAAAAACCATCAAGTGAACGTGCCAGCGGGGGAGGGGTGCATAAGACGCGTTTACGTGTTGAACACATTTTTTGGGAAAGCCATGTCAACACTATAGCAAAAGGTCACGGAACTTAGCGCGAAAGTCAAGTTTCGTAAACCTATCTCTAATGGACAAGGCCTTCCATTCTTAAGAAATGAACGAAAAAATTATGAAAGAACAAACACAAAATTTGGTTTGATGATTTTAACTTTCGCCGCCGCGCCACTCCGACCACACTGTGTTTGGCACAATGCGTGAAGTATTCACGCAGTCTTGTAGGCGCTATCCGTTTCACGCTGACCACAATAACCGCACCGTGTTTGATGCAATGCGTGAAGTATTCGTGCAGTCTTGTAGGCGCTGATATGTGTTACATGCCGATTTCCGCGCCGAGGGCTTCTCCTTTTCATCTCAAGTCCTCGTCATCATTTCTCCCTAAGTCGCGCCGTTCCAGGCCAAATCGTGTGTTCGGTTGCTCTCTTAACTCGACTAATTGGACCTCATTTTGCAATAAGGAACCATCTTTGGCTCATTTTCGAAACAACATGTATGCCATTTGTTTCCCTATGTAGAAAGGTACTTTTATGGAAGAGTCAGAGATAGTGGTTCCTTATTGCAAAATGTAATCCAATTAAAGGTGCTGTCTCTTGTATCACTGAAAGACGACAAAATTAGAAATTACGATACTCTCAGGAAATGAGAGATTTTGTAGCCTTTTCTCGTTTGTAATTTTTTATTTCTAAATCCGACTTATTTTATACCCACATTTAAAAAAATTGCAAAATTTGCCGCCCCCTAGATCTGCCGCCATGGGCCGCGGCCCATGTGGCCACCCCCTTAATCCGGCCCTGAAGTGCTCCTGAAAGAGTTATTTGCCTTATTGAATTTTTATCTTTTTAAGAAAACTTTGAACTGATAGCTATCTAAAATTCATGTCTGTCGCCCAGGGACCGCCCATCAATTAAGTAGGGATCAAGTTACTCTACGGGTGACTAACTTAGGGGATCGTAACTGCGATCGATCTCGCGTCGTAATTCTTAAATGAGCACGATATTAAGTTCTCCACTCTTGGAGCAATATTTTTTTAAAAAATGGTTGTTGTATAATTTTGTATTCCTCTTCTACTTAGTAATAACTCCTGCAATTACTGATATCCTCCCGTAAATCCGACAGCTTGAGAAAATTATGAATAATTTTTCTATAAAATCTAATCGTTTAAATCTTATATTTATTGGCATAATGTGTTCTCAATCAGGAATTTGTATACGCTCCATTTTTTACGGATCCTAATTTCACTCTTAAAAAGCATACTAAACTTTTGAGAGTGCTTTAATGCACCGCATTTACAACTCATCCGGTAATGGCAAAAAATAACGTCACGAAAATTTTGCCGCAACGTTACTTTTGGCAGTAACGTGGTGAAAATGTCTTCGCAATTACTTCTTAGAATCACTTTCCAGGCAGGAAAGATTAGGCAAAAAGCAAAGTACCAGAAAATAATTGAGTCGCATATCTCTCCTGTCTCCTTTCTCCCCCCTATGCCAATGAAAAATGAAAATCATTGTAAGCAGAACTTAAATTTTACTCCAATTTCACATTACAGAGACTGTATTTTTTGGTTGTCGGTACACTGAAAGTATTCTATGGTCACATTAATTTGATTATTTTTATCTGTCCATTATTACAGATGACATTACCATGACAGCAGACGGCATTGATACTTATCACTTTGTCAAAAAAGCCGGCCGCTACAAGTAAGTTACACCTCTCTTCTTTCCATCTATTTGCTTAATTTGAAAATTCCTGCCTCCCCTCCTTTTTTTTTCATAACCAGACTGAGTAAGTAGATAAACACGGTATGTAACAGCCATAATATGCAGATTACAATATTCAACATTTTGAATAAATGAGGAGGAAAAGGAGGGATATCCCGTTGGACTTTTCAAGGCATATTAGTGAATCTCAGGGAATTTAAAGGTCATTTTCTTGAAAATAATTTTTCCCCCAAATTTTGACTCTTTTTCTGTCTATAATTTTTGGACATTGAATACTCGACAGTTCAAAATTAATTTTTGAACTGAATTTCTTGAACGTTAAAACGAAAGGGATCAAATCTGCTGCAATACTTAAACTGTAAATACTGCACTTTGATGTCATCGTAGGGCATATTGTTTCACTCAGGGAATAAAATTTTCCCTGAAGGTTATTCATAACATCAATGAGCTAACAGATTTTTGAAGTTATAAATCTTTTTACTTTACCCTTTCTATGAAAATCAGCTATGAAAGTTATCTACAATGAAAAAAATTTTAATGTTTTACAACTGTCCTCTTTTTTTTCTCAGGGAAGTCAAGAGAACTGCTGGAGTGTCAACGACAGATTTGGTCGGGCGAATGTTGCTGCTGACGAGGAATCATTTCCGGCGAGGGGACCAGGAGTATGAAGTTAGCAAAAACGATTCGTCTTATATGGGTCTTGATTCCACAGGGCGCTCACCTTATACAGGCTGCTCCCAATTCCTACCTACAACGCAGAAAATTAGTCAATTTAGTGAAGGGAAAGAACCAAAGGTACAACTTCTTCTGTCAATCTCTAAACTTCATTCAACACTCTTAAGCCTCAATTTTTTCCCATCAGTTTCGTTCAATGAATATTTTAATTCTCGTTTTTCATTTTGCCATCAAACATAGAAGTACAATTTACAATTTCATATTCCAATTTTAAAATGAAATATCAAGATTCCTTAACTATTTTCTATTTACTAAAGAAAATTAACAGTCGGGCAATTTTCAAAGCAATCCACTCATTTATGACGAATAGTTCATGGGAGATGGCATTCTTTTATCCTCATGGGTGGACGTTTATTGATGGACCATACTCAATAAATTCTCCTCCAAAATGTTCACATTTCTAAAACAACTTTAAAGGAATGCAAGAGGATGTCATTTGTCACAGTCAAATAATTTTTTTAGGTCAATTCTTTAAAAACTAATCTCGACTTTAAGCTAACATTTGTGTCCAAATTTTTTTGAGTGTACATTTTTAAATTCCTTTTATTTGAGAAAGCCGCATTTGCTGTGTTACTCAATTAAATACGCATCCAGACTTTCATTGGTGCCCTCATTACCTATTTTTTATTTTTACATTTTAGCCCAACGATCGAGTGGTGTATGTTGCTGGTGCTTTCGATCTTTTCCATGTAGGTCACTTGGATTTCCTAGAAAAAGCTAGGCAAGAAGGAGATTTTCTAATTGTTGGCCTTCATACAGATCCAGTAGTTAACCGTTACAAGGGCTCAAATTACCCAATAATGAACCTTCATGAACGAACGTTGAGTGTACTAGCTTGTAAAGTGAGTATAGACTTAATTTTTACAAGTATTTTTTGTCACAGATCTCTTAAACTTAATTATTGAATAAGTATTTTGCCTATGACAAATCAGAGTCCATGAAAGTTAGGCAGGACATTTCGGTTCATTCCAATGTCAAAACTAAAAAATGTCGTTTCAGAATTTCTATCCCAACTTCATTTTTGAAAGTCTAATGAACCAATAGTTAATAATGAAAATTTCAGCATCTGCTTTTAGGTCAGCCCATAAAAATCATGAGAAGTTCTGAAAATCAAAGGCTGTTGGTGTTCTTTCATCAAATTCTATTGTAATAGGTTGTCTGCAGCATTGTGAATGGAGATGAAGGGCTCTTTTGTATCCAGAGTGTAGTTTTAAAGTCTGTTTCATGAATGCAACTTCTTGTCTAAATTGCGCCTATTTTTTTTTTTTTTTTGCAAAATGCCTGATTTTAAAGTGGATTCTGAATCAACCAGAAGAAATGAATACTGGCATGGGCTCAAAAAACCGTCTGACTTATTTGTCTGACATTGTTTTACCCAAAATGGAAACATTTAAAGCTAAATAGAAGTTTTCACATTTTTCTCATGGGTATAGGTTCTGAAAAACGGGACTATTCAATTCAGACCTGAAATCAAAACAATTTTTGAGTGCCCAACTTTGAGTCAATAGACATTTGTTTTCATAAGTGTTGCACTCTTGTATGAAGTACGTGCCATGAAAAAAATGTGTTAATTCCACTATTTAGTATTTCTAATCTATAAATTAATGAAACTTATTTTTTAATGTGGTTACGGTTAGGATAGACTTTTTCCTTTCATTGTTTGTGCTGTAGGAAGGTAAAGTTATTGATTTGAATCATGTGAAAACACTTAATAGCGCTTGACCCTCCTCTCATTTTTCTTCTTTGTTTTGAATTATTTTCAGTATGTCTCAGAAGTTGTAATCGGTGCTCCATACAATGTCAACAAAGAGTTGATGGAGCATTTTAACGTTGACATTGTCTGTCATGGTCAACAATTTTACAAGTATGCAAATGATATGGACCCTTATGCTTATCCTAAAAAACTTGGAAAATTCAAATTACTAGATTCTGGGAATGATATGACAACAGAAAAAATTGTCGACAGAATTATATTACACAGGTAATTCTTTATTTTTTGAAGGTCGAAAAAGTAATCAAAATCGAATGTTTTTGAAGAAAATAATGAAATTATTTTCCTGATCATGGGAAAATTATCTCATGGTCAGAAAATGCTGAGCCTCTAACAACTCAGATCAAACTTTGAACAATTTTTTCCCAAAACCAATTTTTTTAACTGTAAACTTTTAACTTTCGCTTCCTCGATTTCATTTGACACTCTTATTTTTTTTAAGTATTTTTTTGTCAAATTATTTTTGAAACGCTGCCTTATGCAATGTACTACTTACTCAATTTTTGAGTTTTCTAGATCTCTTCTCCCATGGAACCTTTCAAGAGGAGCTTTTAGTGTAATTGATACCCTCTTTATGAAGAATGGTAGTGTTGATGTTTATCTCCCAGCTCCTCATAGTTCATATTTTTACCATTTTATTTCTCAATCTTAATTCTCTTTTTCAGGTTAGAATTTGAAGCTCGAAATGTTGAAAAAGAACGGAAAGAGTTGGCGTTGTTGGATCTCATGAATTCAAAAAAAGATGTCAGAAATGGATGCTCTGAAGGGAAAGAGAGCAGTTGAAGGCTTTAATTATGCCAAACATTCCAGTGACTTGTCGATACCTGTGAACAGTGAACAGTAATACACCATTAATTTTTTAAGATGATAGGTCAAGTATGGAACTGAGGGAATTAAGAGATCTATATTAAATGGACAGATTGATTTTACTATCGGATGTCACAACTCTTTTGCTATGTTTTTCATCTTACTCTTAAAAACAAAAGCACATGAATTAAGGAATCTTTGAAAAAAATTCCTCCTATTTTTGATGCTAAAATATCATAAGTAATAGAGAGTAGGGTTTTCTTAAACATCAAATGCGATGCCTTGTAATAATGTCTCCAGAAGTGATTATGTGATGAAAGAGTGTCAAGGGATAGTTATATTTTGAACAGATCTCTAAAATGATGTGATTGTATTTGCAAGTAAGACTGTTGTCATAGAACTCAACAAACATGTCTCGGCTTGTATATTTGGCTGAGCCGTACTCTCACATTGTTCAATATTCTAATTTAAATTTGTTACTCAATTTTAACTGTTGTTATATTTTTATTTTTAAATGCTTGTAAATATGATTTTAAGCCCCATTTTTATTGTATTTTAATCATTGATTAGATAGTATCCAATAATGTTAAATGTTAACTTATTATGATCACATTTTATGGAACTGCAACTTAGAGGGACGAAAATATGGTCAGGCTTTACAAACTTTTGAAATACACCAGTCTTTCTCCTTTCAGTATTTACCTCCACGGAAGTACAGCATGCTTAAAAAATCGGAGGTGTATTCTGAAGATACGAAACTTAAATTAAACTTTTTGCATTCTGAATAATACAGCAGCAATTTTCGTTATCCCCGAGAGAATTTTACAATTTTTTTGCCTGTAAAATTTTCTCCCAAATTTGTAAACTAAAGTATTATTTCTGATTTTTTTTTTTTTTTTTTTTTTTTTTTTTTTTTTTTTTTTTTTTTTCATTTTTTAGAAATTGATCTACACTGTTAGTGAGAAAAACTGGTAAAATTTTTGACTTTTAAGTATCTTGCATGGTATAAAATATTTCAAAACTTTCAAATGGAGTCCACAAGTCGGAAGAAGTATCAAAGCCTCAAACCTTTGAAATCTTTTTACTTAATAGGGCAACTACAGCAAAATTTGTGAATTCCACCAGTGTTTTATGATTTCCCGTAAAGTTAGTTTGCTTAGTTTTTGACTGTACTAGAAAATTATTCATTTCTTTCCCTTCATAAACTAAGTTACCAAATTGTAATCAAAGCCTTTATTTCTCTTTGGGAAACTATTTTTATGCAGCCTGTTTAATTTACAAGTAATACAAATTTAATTAGTCCTGCAGATATTGTAGCCTGCAGGCCAAAAATGAAGAGTCATTCCATATTTTTGAATATTTTTTTGTGTTGTTCTTGTTTATTATACAGTTGAAAAGCCAATTAGCAGAGGTAATTTTAAGGAACGACTTACACGGCTGCAGGTCTATCGAGAGGCGATTAAAAAGTAGCCACTGGCCAAGGGCGCCACCCAAGTAGCATTTTTCAACGGAAAAATTGCGATATTTTGAAATTAAGTTGCAATTTCTTGGCGATAAAATCAGTAGGATCATCAACCTTTTAGCGATTATCCTCGATCCTGTAGCAATTTTATCTCTATACAAGAATTTTTAGTAAGTATTGCGCTTACTTCAATGCATAATCGCACAGCATGTCATGTCCTAGTCTTAACGACTCATTTGTTTCCGTTCAGGTGTCTGGAAAATTGTATTAAAAGTACCAAAATAACTTTGCTGAGCTTTCAATATTTTTACAGTCAGCTCATTTCAAACTCTCTTACCGGAGTAAAAAAAAGAAAATTCGAATCTGATGCTTGCAACAGTCCCATTATTTGGTCTGTTTTAACGTCCCGCTTTGTGAAGGCCCTCTGTTTCAAAGTCCCATTTCTTGTTTTTCCAGTTGTGTCACTTTTGACTCAAAGCTCTCAGGCTGTGTTATGCCTCCTCTAGTCATTTGTAAACATTGATACCTTTTATTTCAACTAAGTACTGTCAGATGAAAATTAATTAAGTGATTTAAGTATGATAAGTTATTGTAATTATGTCACTTTTAATTTATTGTAAGATCTGTATCTCTTCAATCGGCTGATTCTGGCCGTAAGCCATTCTGTGGGCTATGTATTATTCATGGGAAACAACCTAATCAGCTCGAAAAAAACCCAGTCCGCAGTAAAGTTACAAAGAACAATGAGGGAAACCTGAATGTTTGGAACTGTCACTGTTTAATTTCCTGCCAGCAGAATTACAAAAGAAAGCAGGTAAAATGATGTTTTCATTGAGAAACTGAGCTTCAATTTCTTGATTCTTGGTTTTGCGGGAAATGAGACAAAATTTTTCCTTTCTTGTTAATCTTGCTAGTCGCATATGAAAAAGTAACATTCTAAATCATTCTTGGTTTTTGTTTTTTGGTGTCTTTGTTCGCCTCCGGCTTTCTGCTGAATTAAATTTTTTTTAATTCATTTGTCATTTCAGAAGCGACTTCATTCACCATATAGATGTGTGATCTATTTTTAATCTTCAAAATGAACTTTTTTTAGTGATAAATGATTACATTTTTTGACTAAACAGTTCTGATGTTTATCAAGTTCATGGCAATATCCCTCTGACATAAATGTCAATCATGTTCACGTTCAGTTTTCCAAGAGACTTTAAGCTGTTGAATGTTGGTTGTGCTGAGTATTTTTTCATGAAACTTCTCAAAAAATCTTTGTGTGAAAGACCTGCAAAATCAGGCATGCAAGCATTTGCGACCGTTTCTTGCTGATAGGTAACATGATTTATTGACCAAGGTGAGGAAATACAGGATATTTCTAGCCCATCGGTATCCGTAGAAATTTGACTTATGTAATTTCATCAATGACCACAATCTGCGCAGAGCTTCAAGAGGATAGTTGCAACTGGCGAGGCTTTAAAATTTAAATATATTTTCACATCCAAAAGTATTTCAAATTGTCTTTTGAAGAGCCGAAAAAGGCAGCACTCTCTTCTCCTCTTTTAAATGTATCCTACACTGTCCTCTTATTTAAATGGGTCTCCAGGGAAGAATATCAGGTTTTTTTTGTTTCTAATGAATATGTAGACTAAGTCTCAAGAATGAATTGTTTTAAAATCAAGTTCGTCTGCATTTTATATTTAAAATGAATTATGATAGTGATTTTTTGTCTGTGCCAAGTATGCCAAATTGTTGCCAATCAGAATTTTATCAAATACAAAAACGTTATTGGAGGGTCTACCTCATCTCTGGATTCAGGATTTTGTTGAGCCACCTGAAGTTATATTGTTAACAAGTGCTGGGTGGCAAATGGTATGAAAAAGTTGCGTTAGAAGTAAATTAATTTGCATTTTGGTTTGTAACCAACGCTTATGAAGCAAAATTGATTAAATATAAAGGATTCGAAAAGAACTTAAGTTTTTTGTATGCATCGAGAGTGACTTGAGCTTTACAAGGAGTATCTCTTACCATTGATCTAAATACAAAAACTCTTGGTTCGCATGTCATGTGCAGTTGAACCTGCTGAAATGGAAATGCATCTCGGTGCTTCCTTCTGAAGGAAGGTTCTTAACATGTAAAATTATTGTGTTAGCTTTATTTGTTGAAAATATGTGAAATAGAGGCATACCTGATGATTCAGAGACAACATGAAGTTCTTCAAGAGGGACTCGTTTTACAACATTTCGTCTGTTGCCTAAGAAACGGTACATCTGTGCAATTCAAGGAATCCTCTATTAAAGTAGCAAAAGCATGATTTTTTAATTTTAGAGGAAAGAGAATTTTTGATTGCCTGGACGATAATTCTCTCAATAGCTATCGTAGCAACCTGTCGCAGAATGCTCCGTTTAGAGGAATTTATGTTCTTTAGAAGGCAAGTAAACTGTTCATTGTTATGGAAATGAATAAGTTGTTAATGCAGAGAGTAATACCGTTATCAAAGTGTGCTCGCTGGAAAAAGTGTGCTCGCCGATTATGTGGTATTGTTTCTTAAGAGACAATTTAATTATTGTTCATTGTCTTGACTTGTAATTTATCCACATCAGTGTCAAGACATTATTTGGACATATTTCTGCCAAAAAGAACTATGTGCATTAAGACATGAGCCCTGGGACCCATAAGAATATATGCATTACAGGGCTCTTGTCATAATGCACATAGTTCTGTTTGGCAGAAATACTTCCCTATTTGGACCGAGTTTTAACAGAAGTGCATTAAGTCTCATCATGGATGAGATATGCTGGGAGTGGTTTAGAATCCAACTAATTGTAAATTTTCTCCTGTCAAAAATTAAGAATGGAAAAAAAAATTCCTTTGGTAGAAGTGACAGGGTCTTCATTGTGCCTCCTCTTCTTTCCTTTGTTTGGTTTAAAATCGATATCTGTGTGTGAGATGAAGAGACCTTCACCAAATTATCAACGTTGGTTTTTGTACTGAGCCTAGCCCTCCCATTATTATGAGACAGCCACCTCTTTGCTTGTCTGCTTTCACTAGGTCCATCAAAAAGATGTGAGGGGTTACAAGATGATGGACATGGAGTAAACGCGGCAGATCCACCTACAGTAGGATGTAGTTCTTCATTTTCTTCATCATTAGGAAAATTAATCAAAGCTTTTTTCAGAGCTTTAGCTTTCTCGAAAATTTCCTGTAGCGTCGATGGCATCTGAAACAAAAGGTGGCAAAGTTATATTAAGGTTCACTCTACTGCAGGTGCACATACAGAATACTGCAAAAGATTGTGGGAAAAAGTCCTGTAATGTCCTGCAGCTGCAATGTAAAACATACATCCTTATAACGTATATTACGGTATGGGCCGTAATTTTCTGCCTTCATCGTTTTAGCCGCCTGTCTTTGCACCATGATGAGAGGTGCATCTCGGTTGAGGAGTTCCAAATCTTGGCTACTTTTTTTTTATTTTTTAAAAGGTGACCAAACCAAAGTCAAGGCCTGAAATTTTCACAAAATATTGTTTACTCAGAAAAGGACACTCACTTAAGTTTTCAAAAAACAACTTTTAGGAATTTTCTATTAAAAAAATCAAATATGATAGAAAATCTGCAGCGCCACAAACCGAGGTCCGCGTTTCTGCAGTCTCTCCGTAGTTGTGCTGAATATTTGTACGCAAGGTGATTTTGCAGAAATGCATACTTCAGAATATTGTGTTGTTTCAAAGTTCGTCAAAATCTACCTCCTCTCTTCTCATAAGACATACTAACTTTACAAGTTAAATGTGAATCATTGATGAGTGTTTCATGGCTAATTAGCCGTGAAATTCTATGTCAATATTAAGTGCAACCATAAGAGTTATTTTATTTTTTTCATTTAAATATCCTACGTACCCACCACTGTTGCTTTAGTTGTTTAAGTCAGGTTCCCTAGGTATCTCAATGACAAAAATTGCTTATCTACTTAGCTGCGTTCATGTTCTGTTTGATTCAAATTGCTAACTTTGTGAGCCAGCAACTGCAAGCTAGCTATTGTTGCTTCCCTACTTGTGTAGCTTTGTAATTTCTGTAACTTGCATGAAGTATAAAGGCTAAGTTACCATTCAATCATTGTTAAAGGACCTATTGTTGCACCGACGGTAAAACATCGGTCTTCTGTAGACAATTCCTTATGCTGTTAAAATTTTCAATTATATTTAATTTTTATTTTTTCAACAACATTTTTTTCTTCTTCTCTTCTATTATCATTCTATAACAAGAAAAATGTATGATATCAACGCATTGCAAACATTACAAAACAGTGCAGCGGCTGAAAACCTGCCTCTCATGAATCTTGATTTTTTAGGAGATTTAACAAACCTTGTTTGCCAAGTTGAGGATCATAAAACGGTATAGAATTATTTGAATTAAAGTAGGTTTCTAGTTTTCTTTGGCCATTATCTTTTGCTCATTCAGTATTCGCATTATGATCATTTTACAGCTGACATCTTTCTTTTATGTTCCATAAATTTTTTGAAGTTCCAGGAACATTTTACAAGAAGTTATCACTGATATTTTTCTCTTTTCCTCCCTTGAAAATAAAAAAAAAATCAGCTCAAAGAGTTGATTCCTCATTCCCACCACTGTTAACACATGGCACAGTCAACTTTTGGTAAAAAAATGCAAAATGAAAATGAATTTCTAGGTATCCAGGTATGCATACATGAGACTATTGTCTCTTTCGTGCAAAGTTTGTCTATATTTTTTTTCTAGTTTGATGAGATATTATGAGTAGTGCAAACATTTGTCCTAATGGACCATATTGTCGTAGGAATCAGTTTGACAAATATCAGTTTCTGACATGATAAAAATATCATATCAGTATGACATAACTTCTGCTATAATGGATCAAGGCGTATATACACCTTCACACCCAGATGACTTTTTCCTCTCGAAGAACCTATGTGCATAAGGTGTGCCCAGATGGGCTTGAGTTCATCGCATTGTTGCAAAGTCTCAATTGATAATTTAATTCTTTAGGTACTGAGCGAGGATTGAAAATGTTCTTTAATAATTTCATAGAAAATACTTCTTTATGAATTGATAAAAAATCCCTAATATTATCGATACTTGTACAGACCCACCTTTCCGCCTTTATATGAAGTGCTAGTAAAGTTGTCAGTTGAAACTGAGTTGAAACTTATCAACATTGCAATGAGATCTAAAAACTACCTTAACCTAGGGGTTCTACCTTGATCTGGGTAAGTATGTAACAATTTGAGAAAAAATTGAAGGGCGTTCCAACGTTGCTAATTTTCACCCTATAAAATAAGAGAAAAGTAATTACTAATAGTTTCAGAGACATTTTTTCCATTTAGCAAAGCCAATTTTTTGAATGATTCTTGGGAATTAAGTTCATAAATTTGTCAGTGAATTAATTCTGCTTTTATCAAGGATATTTGGCATCATGCGAATGCCCATGCGGCGTTTTTTCTTAGCGCGGCAGTTTTATTCAGCGGGCAAGGGGGGGGGGGTGAAAATGCCAGCCCCGCATGAAGCCCCACAGCCCCCCTCGAAATTTTGCATCCCCCACATTCTTGTACCTCTTGAAGCAGATAGCTTCGCAATTCCAAGCAGTCCTGAGTCCCCAGCTTTTACGCTGACGGGCTGCCATCCGTGCTGAATCTGATGACATCATCATCATCATCATCATCATCAAAACGTGCGCCTCCCTTACCCCCCCTGCCCAGAAAGCATGAGCCATCTAGCCTCTCAGCAGGGCGTGTGAATTTGCATTTGCATTGTGTTTAGCCCTGTTGCCAGGTTGAACCAGGGTTATTATTCATCAAAGTAAGTAATTTACGAAAAGCAGATCCCACAATTTCACGACCGAATAGGTCGATCAGTATTAGCTGACATTTTTTTTTTTTTTATTATTCCAAGAATCAATCGCAATCAGCGATAAGAAATATTTACATCATGCTATTAATGACTCACTTTGCAACAGCGATTTATCACGGACGACATTTATCTCTTGTTTTCCTAAGATGATAGTGATGTCCAGTTTCCTTTGATATTATTTTTCCAGTGATTTTAATTGTTGTTTTTTACTGCCCATCAGTGGTGAACTGCAAATTTGTGTGCCTTTTCTTGTGCGATGAGTCTTCATAGTCGGAAAGGATGTGAAAATTCTACGCTCAGAAAATTGTTTTTCTAATTCTAACCTCAAAAATTCATTGTTTCTGTGATTTTTTCTTGGGTAGGTATTCAAATAGCTCTGTTTTACAATAATTTTGGTTCTCTGAGATATGAAATAAACTTAAATCTTAAAAAACTCCATGAAGATATAATTGAATACTTCTTGCATTGTTGCGGGTACACTATCAATCTGAAGGTTATCAATCGCAAACTGCTCCACTAGTGATCGATCTTCATTACGCATTTACATGTCATTTGCCAAGGGTTTTACTTCCTTTTGCGAATTACTTTTACAAATCATTGACTGATTTACCCAATTACATCTACCAGAGCTATTCTAAGGTGTCTGGTTTCGGGTAGCATTTTAAAGTGTGTATTTGACCCATTAAGGCTTGATTTAGGGTAGGTACCTATCATTCATCAATGAATCAAAGCGGAAGGCTTAGAGATTTTTTAACAATCAATTACAAAGTAGTATCTTCAATCAATGGTAACATTCCTCATGCCTCTGATGATTCCTGCCTGATTATATTTCAGACAGCAGGCACAGCCTGGCAGGTGGAATTTCAATGTCAGACTCTTCCATTATTTCAAAAATGATACCACAAATTAGTGCAGTCAAAATCCAATTCACTGCTTAGGATGCTGCATCATAGAAGAGTTAGCATCTCAAATTCTATGTAGTCTGCACATCACATATTGGTCCGAAAGTACCTAACCTTACCGCTACTGTCTTAGTGCCTGCTAATAGGAATTTTGTAGGCATTGCACTATAAACTTTAACAATGTTCATGGTTTGCATTACATTCTCTAGATGTGATTTTCTTGCAATTCTACTTGTAACGAGTGTATTTATTTGGTTGCATCTTACGCATTAGACGAAAATCACTCTCCTGAAGTTCTTTTCTTCATGCATGAAGGTTAGCTTTTCTGTGAAAGATTAAATTTATCAGTAGCCTGATTGTTAAAATTTTGTGTTTGTCGGGTATACATAGATGACATAGGTTAAAAGGCGGTGTGTGATCGGCTGGCTATGTCTTTTCAGTGCTTTGTCGTGCCAATGTTCGGTGGAACTCACGACAAGCTAACGGCACCTCTTAAGTTTCCGACTTTATGTTGTCCATTCCACCTGACAAAGGCACAATAAAGTAGCGATGAGACATAGCCGACCAATCATGTTCCACCTTTTAACCTATGTCATCTATGTCTGCCCGACAAACACAAAATTTCGCTGCTGAGTGTAAGAACACTAAATTTTGTACTCACACATACATTGCCTTTTTATGTGACTGACTTTTACAGAAATTAAAAAAAGTTTAAAAGGATGTGTCCCATTGAGGAGGGTATTTTGGCCCTTCGGTCAAAAATTGAAACAGCTCAGTATGATGTCATGTACTTACGGTGAAATTGACTCTTAATCATCTACCCTGTGAGAACTTGTCCTCATTTGAGGTGTTTTTGAAAGGTTTTTGCCTAAATTACCAGCACAAAGTAGTGAAGTTTTGCAGTTTTCTTGAATAATTGCTCATTTTCGGTCCTAAATTAGATTGTTTATGTATGAGCACAAGCGACCACCACTTTCTCCTTTAAATATGTTGTAATAGGTGTACTAAAGATTAACATATTCGAATATGAGAGTGGTAGTCGCTTGTGCTCATACATAAACAATCTAATTTAGGACCGTAAATGAGCAATTATTTGAGAAAACTGTAAAACTTCACTACTTTGCGCGGGTAAATCAGGCAAAAACCTTTCAAAAACCCCTCAAATAAGGACAAATTCTCATAGGGTTGATAGTTAAGAGTCGATTTGACCATACATGACATTATTCTAAGCTGTTACAATTTTCGACCAAAGTTAGGGCCAAAACATATTCCTTAATGGGACACATCCTTTATGTTCGTACTTAAGTTAGTTATATTGATCAATTAATCCATTATTATTTGATTTTTTTTCAGATGTTGGTAAGATGAAGAAATTATCACTGTGCAGCTAACGCTCTGAAAATGAAGAAACAATTTTTCCGCGTCAAGCAGCTTGCTGATCAGACATTTTCTAGGTAATTTTCTCCTTTGAATAGCTTTATTGTTAACTCAAATATTATTCATGTATGAAGGGCTTGCCTTCCTAATTTTCGGCAGTATTATTTTTGATCCAATAGGGGAAGTATACATTGATAGCTACTATAGCAGTCGGTAGTAGCACTTACTCCAATCTTCTGCTGTTGTGTACTAATCTACTTTGCTTTATTATTCATGAATTATAACACACGGGGATTGTGTCTTGGCTGTCGTTACGCAGCATTATAGGGGTAGGAACGTATTCAAAGGAGCTTTGTGGAATCTAACATAAATGTTGCCAATTACACCCAGGCACTAAAAATGTTTCTTCTCTCGCTCTTGTCTTCTGCTCTAATACTTTTTTTCTCATTCCTTAGAAAACCTGGACTGTATAAGCCTATTTAAAATCCTTTTGTGTGGAAAATTTGAAAAGTGACATGGTCAGAGCCAGTGTTGCACAATTTTCAAGGGCATCTCTGTTTAAAAAATCGCCCATTTATGCTAGAACTTTGAAACTTTCCTTGAAACCCTCTCAGTCTAAAATCTCCTTGAAATCGCTGTAAGTTTAGGGATTTCAATGTATACCAGATAATCTTGAGCTTTTAAATTGAAATAGTCTTGTAGAGTGTCTTAAAATTCTAGCCTAAGTGATGCATAATTTACTATTTAACATTTTTTTAGTCAATGCCTTTTCTCCTTTTTACTCTAGGGCTGGAAAGACAGAAGTCCTGTCTGATGATTTGCAAGCAGCTGATCGCCGAGTTGAATTCATCAAAGCAGCTTGCCAAAACACCACCAAAAAGTTAGTGTCATCGTTTCTCAGTCAAGGACAAGATGCAGCCTCCAGAGAAAAAAGGCTTGTAAGTATCTCTATTTTGGGGGGAAAAAAATCTCTGTGTTCTATCAAATGAAAGTCGATCAAATCGACTATTTTAAGATGAATTCAAGATTAAAAGTTTCGTGTATCACCACAATTTTAATATACGACTATTTACGTGTTTTATTTTGGTTTTTTATTTTGAATCAACAGGAAGTTGATTTAAGTCTCGAAAGTATGTGATTAAATTTAAAGTTAATAAATAGACCAAAAATAGGATTGAAATAATTTCATGGATGGATTTTGATCTTCAATCAATGAAATTTTTTAGACCGTAGTTCTGTTCTTACTTTTTGGCTAATTAACTTTGAAAAATAAGCATAAACGAGGATTCACTTCCTGTTCATTATATTTTTGAAAATATCCTGCTTAGTTATTTATCGAAGGTGTGTCAGTGCACAAAACTATTTACCGAGGATTTAACACAAAATTTCATGAATTATTTGAAATCTTACCTCAGGGGCATGGCATTTCACCAGTAAATCCCAAATAAACTATATAAGTATTTATAAGTCTAAGAGAATGAAATTTAGAACGCTAATGCTTTGCTTGTACCAGGGAAACTTTCCACTCAACTATTTATACCAATTCAAGGTGAAAATGTCAATAAAAATATTACCATGCTTCTAGTTTTGTTGTGTCAGTTTCTCTTTAACTAACACTTCTTCTTTAAACTAACTGTAGGTATTTCTAAATTGCACAAGCCAATGTTTAGGACAAGTTTGTCCCCATTGACTATGTTTCTTGTGGGCAGCTCAGGGAGAAGCATTTCTCTATCCCCAGTTACAGGTTGTCGAGCAGACTCAGAATTTGTTAGGGAAAAGCAGGGGGGGGGGTCATAAATCTTTCTTCTCCTGATTGAATAGAGTGTCCTTGCAGCATCAAAAAATGAACACCTTTCTTTTAGGCTGTGCCATCTCCTAAAGATTTGTTCACTTTCAGGATAGTTTTAGTTAAATTTGGTCTTCAATTCTTATATTTCACCCTCTATTTAGGAGATTTAAATTTTTATCTTATACTTCTAAAATCATTTGTTTTAAAATCAATCTAATTGCCATGGCTAGTCTTTTTTATCGGAAATTGAATAATTATTATCCATTTTGTTTGCTTTTTTCACCAGAAAAAAAGTGCCGAGTACCAGTTGGGAATGTCGATGTTGGAGAATGGATCTCTGGAGGAAGACTGCCTGCTTAGGTGATTCTTTTACTCTCATTTTCCTAGTGTAAATCATTTCAACCTTCTAAATTTCTCAATTAAATTGATGCACATCCAAGTATGAGGGAAAAGCCTCTCCTCATTGATCATTTACACAATAATCAAGAATTTTAAAAAGAAAAAAAAACCATTGATCCTTTCTAAAATGAACAACTTTGCAATGCACTCTTGGATAGACTTAACCGGAGGCAAGAAAAATTTATCAATTTTTTTAATTTATCAATTTATCAACAATTTTATCTTTTGCGTAAATGCCTAGACATTTTGCAAAAAGTGTAGACACTTTCAAAAATGCCCAGTCAAATAGGCAATCATCGTCTTCAATGAAAATTTTCTATTTGCCTAGGCACATCGATAAATGCCTGATTTTCATATCAGCTTGGGACTGATATATTTCCTGAACGCTGAATAAAATTTAATTTTCATGAATCAAAAATGGATTCAATTAAAAAAAATTGAGCCTATAAGTACAGTAAAACTTGCATATATTGGATCGCGTCCGGACCGGCTGAAATTTCCGGCATAAGCGGGTTCTGGTTAAAAGCGTATTTCGATGTTTTTTCACCCAAAAGCGAAACTATTTGGTTTTTACCCAACCGACCGTTTAATTTGTATCAGGCGCAAATGACTATGCCCCAACCCCTCCACTCATGTGGGAACCGAGTATATCTCTTGACACTTTACGCTACTGTCTAACATACTGCACCGCAGGACGAGAAAAAGAGGTGTGGAATGACAGGAGGGGATTCAAAACTCGGGAATGTGTGTGTGTGCTCTTGCTCTTCGCAGATCGGAGAGGAAGGGGGGGGGACAGCGGGCTGCGTTAGCAGAAAGTGCAACGTCTGCATTTCATGCGTGACCTAAACACAATAGCCAATCAGATCAAATGCACCTGTTGTCATTAATGTAAACAGATGATTGATAGGCACTGTGATTAATCATGCACATGACCACTAAGGAATTGATTCATGTGCCACCGGTAACGAACTGGCATTCCTGTTATCTTGATACTTTTGAATAATTGCTGACTATACAACAGCGTAAGTTTTGAAAATCTGTACAGAATTCTGAGGGGAAAATCCTGTTTACATTGGCTTTGAACCAAAAATTTATCACGATGCAGGTTCCGTTACGAGCAGTTCTGATGTACCCGGGTTTTTTTTTTTTACATTGTTCTGATGGGTGAAAAAACGGGACTGCGCGCAACTGCTGACAGAAGCGAGTTTCCGATATAAGTATAGGACGATATATACGAGTTTGTCCCATCTGAATGCCACTCACCCAGAAAACTTTTTTCATTCATATTTTTCAGACAAATCATAACAGAATGTGGAAAACTAGAAATCCTTCTAGCAAACGCAATGGTGGACTATGAAACAACAGTAGAACAGTCTGTTGTGAACCCTTTACAGCTAATTCTAGAGAATGACCATCCCAACATAATGAAGCATAAAAGAAACCTGGCCAAATTAATTCTAGACATGGATTCTGCCAGAACTAGGTGAGTAATTGAACCTTTAATTGTTTCCTCAAAACATTTTAATGTTCATATTATTCAAGTTCTTGTGGTTTTTCATTTTAAATGTTAAAGTTCAAGGAAAGTGAAGTTAATTTTGCATGTTGCAATGATACCAAAAGCAAGGAACCTACGCCACTAATGAGCTCTAGAGTGGGTTGAAACGGAAATTTTCTCTTTGTCTTGATTGGAATTCCCGAAAGAAATAAATGTACATCAGAAGTGACCAAACTCAAGTGCATAAATTTTCAGTCCCTGCAACATCCCTAACATTAGGCATTAAAATTAAAACAGGATTTTTTTTGTAAAGAGTCAATAGCCCTCCCGCCAGAATTTTGAAACTTGTGTTTTCGGTTTCCTCCGCCAACAGCGCGCAGGCGGGGGAACCCGAAAACACAAGTCAGGCGAAGCCATTCCGTTCCTAGACATCAGTCTTGCGTGATGTAAGTTTTTCCCTTTTTTTGAAATCAGCCCTTCGGGGCTGAATCCTTTTTGTTAGTTTTAGTGTTCATGATTGTGTGATCCATTGTGGAGGTTGGGCATAGGAGGGTTCCTCCTATTTCCGCGTTCTTTTCTTTTTTTCTCTTTTGGATGTCCTATCCGTTATCCCTCCAGGACTCCGGTCCACCAAGGCGGCTTTTCCCCTAGCGGGAAAAGTCGACCTTTACATTTTTTTCTTTAAAAATATGATCATGAATTCAAAAATAATTTAAGGAAGTGCAGCCCATCTGGCAAAAATGTTTACTGTTTTAACGGTTGAGACATTACTTATTTCTTTAATTGTATTTTTAGCGTATTTTTCACTCTCCTTTGTTTTTCATTTGGTAGGTATCAAACTGCAGTTAAGCAGCATGCAAGCAGTGGTAATTCAGCGGCTTCCAACAAAGCTGATTCAATTAAAGATGAATTAGAAGATGCCGAGTTCAAGGTGGAACAGTGCAGAGTAAGTATCTGTTTGTCTTAATTCTCTTTATATTATAAGAAAAAAGAAAATTTTATTCAACTTTGTTTCAGATGACCATGTAAGATTGCATGTAATTGTTTTCAAGAAGCTGATACATGGTTTTATTTGTTTTGACTTTGTTTCTTTTTCACTTCTTTTTTCTCTTTCTGTCATGCATTGCCATTTGCAACAAGAAGCAACCATCTGATATTTTAGGAATGAATGAGGACAGGCAAGGATACAAAAATGCAGAATCCTGGATCAAGGATCTTGTTGTTGTTGTTTTTTTTTGTCAGTGAAACTAAGCAAGTTTTACTCCTCAATTATTTCTTCGGTTTTCCTCTTAGAAAAGTTATTTTCTTTCTATCGTTATTTTTGCCACCCTCCCCCTCGCAGGGTTGCAATGACTGTAGTCTAGGAGTTTTCCCCTCATAAAGTGGCATCTCTGCAAATGCATCCTCTCCTCATCTGAGCATGGAGATTTTGACTAGATGCACTTGAACTCGACTCCCTCCACTCCAGTCTCAGTCCTGAGAGCTTTTTTCAAACTCAAGAGTTTCTTTGGGAGGAAAGCAGTGGCACTGTCGTGTTTCTCGCAAAACTTTACATATGATAAAGCATTCACTTGAATTGCGAATGCCTGCGGCATGCAAGATGTTCTTCTCATCTGTAATGTAAAGTGAACACGCCTCAATGCTTAGTTCTGTTATCCTCTCTTTGTGTTTCAGGATTTACTAGCCTCAGAAATGTTCCAGTTGATTGCTCGTGAGGCTGAGCTAGCCAAAACAATTCTAGAATTTGTAAAAATACAAAAGCACTACCATGAAACGGCCTTAGCAACACTGGATGAAATGATACCTGAATTAGAAAATACTATCTGTGAGTTTCATTCATATCATTTTTTATCAAATTTCTACGACTCTTTAATCAATTTAATTAATTCATCAATTTCGATTTTCTTAGTTCAGGGAAATCAGAACCTCTGTGAAATATCAGGTGTTCCATTATTTTCATTCTGGAGGCTCTAGACTTCATTTCTTCATTTTTTTCTTTTTTGTGGCTACTAAGAGTACAAGAGAAATACCTTGAGTGCAATAATTTCAACTGGTCACAGTAATATTTGCATGGTGCATAATATTTATGAGGAATCAAAGCTTAAATACCAATACTTTGAAATATGACTTGATGGCGGAGACAAGAAGAAGAAAAAACTGTTAAAATCAGAGGAGTTGCAACCTGACGTCAGCGTCCCTGATCAATATCTTCATTGTCAGAATGGTTGATCGCCAAGGTCAGGCTGCCAGTATTCTATTTTTGTTTTTTAACTATGCTGAAAATTTGCCTGCAATGTTCCTAGCTCCATATTATTGTTATTTTTTTAGCATCGTTAACCCACCTGTAATATTTTTCCCTTAAATCCGGCTTTGTGTCAGTTTTTTCAATCTCCATTCCTTCCTTGGCTCCATTGTCATGTTTTTTTCCCCCAATAATTTTTTTCACAAACTAAGCAGCCAGACTTTCGTGCTCTGTGTTTCACACTGTACTTTTAATCTCAGATTAAGATTACAAGTTTAATTTATTCATTTACATTCTTTGTTACAGCCGGTAGTTGTATAAAACCTGTTTTTGGCTGTGCTCTTGAAGAACATTTACGAGTAACTGAAAGGAAAATTGCCTATCCTATTGAACTTTGTGTATGTGCCTTATTGGAATTAGGAATGGAAGAAGAAGGATTATTCAGAGTAGCTGGAGGTAAGCCATTAAAAACTTTTTCCTAATCCCTTCATATTTTTTATGGTCAGTTATTATTACCTGCCTATTCCCTCGCTGATCCATCTATGTCAAGTATAGAGATGAATTTGACTACATTTTGCAATAAGAAGCAGCTATTTCTTGGAGAGGTGTTCAGAGTGTGTTGTGTCCGAAAGTTGTGAGGGAAGTTTGTGCCACAGCTTATTTGTTCCCTTTACAAACTATTCGAGAAATTCCAATCCCCTAACATTTGGAGAAGGTAGTCACACGAATTTTGCCCAGCATTGTCTGGAAAAGTTTGTTTTTACCTCGCCCAAAAACCTTGACTTGGGTGTCCTGTTGAATAACTCCTACAACATTAAAGGAAGCTTGCAATCTCATCCAAATCATGTTTCCGTCGTATTTGCTCCTTTCATTAGTGCAAACCTTTGGATTAAGACGTCATCGCAAATTTAGAGCGAATGCAAAATCCTCTGTAATTTAAATAATCATTTTGCCTGACAAAATGACTCACCACCTTCAAAAAAGGCTGTCATACATTTATGTTGCAGATGCAAAAACAAATGGGAATGAGTTGAATTCATTTGAGACTTTCCACAGAAATAGGGACCTTTGTTCAAAATGGATCAAAATTGAGTTATCGTTACCAAAGCCTAAAGTTGACAGCTGTATTGAAAATTTTTCTTTTGGGCAAGGTCCTTTTGGTTGTAGACAGCTGCATCAGTATTATTAGCATTTGTCCCAAAATTAGCGAATTTTTTTGTGCTATCAATAAATATTCGTACAGTAATCCTAATAATCAATTATTGACTTTTGGCTTTGCTGTTCACTTCGTTTTCAAATTTATCGTTCACTCACTCCTAGCGTTAACATTGGAAAGTCTAAAATTCAAACACCAAGATCTTTACAATTCCGCAAGCATGTTGTGGTGATTGCACAGTCACAATATGTCAATGGATATTTAGAGTAAATTATGCAATGAATATTTGATGGCAAGTCATTTCAGACCTTTACTCGCTCGTTTTTTACAGGTGCTTCTAAAGTACGTAGAATGAAATTAAGTCTTGACGCAAGTTGTATGACCTTAGAAACAGCGTTAGAATACCGTGATCCTCATGTGATAGCAGGAGTTTTGAAATCATATCTGAGGGAACTGCCCGAACCACTATTAACGCATAAATTACACGATCAATGGATGAATGCAGCTCGGTAAGTTCTAGTATAGTTCTAGTATAAATAGACTGTTTTTCAGATTAGTGTACTGATAATTTACCAATTTAATCAAGCCATGCATAAAAGGACCCTTGGTTTCAACTTGAGGAGTGGAGGCAATTTTGTATAAACATTTTTTTGTAATCTTGGAGAATCATGACTGCATTTTAGAAGTAGGTACTGTCGAGCAGTTTTAGTATGAAAATTGAAACAAGAGTGGAAATTTTAAAATATTTTTCTTTTATACATAATGTTCGATTCTTTTATGTGTGATCAGCAGTTTGAAATCATAAGTCTTTACTATTCTCATGAAGAGACCAAGATAGGTAATCTTGGGCAGTGGCTCTTTGGAAAGTTGCATAAACAAGAATCTCTAACTCCCAATTCTGGGAAGTCTCCTAATTCTAGGTGACAAGCATGAGGGAAATTGAAATTTCTATTAGTAATGTAATATGAATTTTTGTTTATCGTCTCTGGAAATTTCTGTCTGGACCTACAGCATGACTGGAACCTTATTTAAAAGATTGTAACTTAAGGTTTAAAAAGTCCACTCAGTTTATAGCCGTGACCATACAAATCTGCAAGTAATTTTCGAATCTTTTAGTATTGGAAGAAATTCTTAAAAATAATTCTTGCTGGAAATGGTGAATTCACAATCAAGTTAAAATTATGGTGAATTTCAAATCATGTCAATCATTTTGGTGTTAAAATTTACATTAATAATGATTTTAAACTTCACATCACATTACAGAATGCAAGGTAGCAACGATGCTCGCCTGCAAGCTATCTGGACTGTAGTGCAAAAACTTCCTGCTGCAAATCATGATAATCTGCGGTACATCATCAAGTTTTTGTCTGCCTTAACAAAGAACCAAGAGGCCAATAAAATGACGTCGCAGAATATTGCAATTGTGATGGCACCCAACTTAATTTGGTCCCCTGACTCGGACGGAACCAACATAGGGTAAGCGTGCCTTTTATTTTTGGGCTTCGAGTGCGCTTCGCTTCCTCAATCAAAGATGCATTGATCATTGGAATCCTGAAATTTCTGCGGAAGAACCTATCATATGGCCAAAACAAAGAAAAATTGATTTAATGAGAACAGAAATTTCTATGCTTTTAATTCTGCCCTCAGAATTCATTTTCGTACTAGAAAGTTTTGAATTTACGAAAGCTGGAACATGTCTCTAACTATCAGTGTCACATTTTCTATTCATTTGCAGATTTAGGGGGGGGGGGGAGCAAAATGGTGATGTCACCCCTCTCTGAGGTAGCAGGAAAAAGCAGGCTTAGTAGATGCAAAAATTCTAAAAAATGCCATCTTGCAGGGTGGAACACTGGATTGATCTGTTCCGTTGGAGGTGGCTGAATTTGCTTTCTGTTGCCTCTGGAAACAAAAGCAAAATCTGAAAGTTCAGGAAGAATTGATCAGCTTTGAAATCTTGATTTTACGATTGATTTAACTTAATTAGAAGCATTCACGCAAGTGGCGCTCAACTACTTTTAAAGACTGAAGAAAGAACCTTTTTTAAATTATTTACTATATTTTAAGATTTAATTTTGAAAGGTGACTTGAAATTTGATGCACAAGTGCTGCTATAAAAGGAAAAGTGATCATTAGAAAGACTTGATTTTGCCTGGGGGAGAGATTCTACCCGGAGGATTTCTCTGGACCTTTGCGATATCTGTAGGGAAGTGAAGAGCTCTTGACCGCCACACACTTCTACACACTTCACACACCTCTTGACCGCACACGGTCTTCTTTCTTGAGTCTTTTTTGCAAATGCTTTTTGATTTTTGGTGTGAATCCTTATCTAATTTAATGTTATGTTACATATCATAAGCCTAGACAAAGTATTGCACTTATGTTTTTTTTCTCTTAACTTCCAATGCAGACAAACTTTTCTTGTCTAAATATATCCAGTTTTATACTGCAACTCACCTTGAACAATGATGCTTTAGTGTGAAGTATATCACCTCATCATTATATTTTTTCAGACTGAACATGAATGTCGCAAGCTTGCACAGCATCATGGTTGATTGTTTAATAAACTATGCAGACTGGTTCTTCCCTGGCGAAGAGGAGTTCTATGTGACTCTGGATGCAGGTCTCATACCCCCGCGCACGCTTGTCAATGGTCATGTGCGATCAAATAGTGGTGATACTCAGATTATAATCACTTCAGATTCAGTTTCCTCCAATCCAAGCGCAGGAGCCGGTGACATCAAGAGGTCTCGATCTATTGATAGCCTTAATGACCCCAACAGGTACTGTCATTTATAAAACTAGCTTATGTTTTGTAAGTTGATCCATTCTCTTAAGCTCTGTTTTTCCGACTCATGCACAGGTTTACTTTTTAATTTGGCAATTTGAACCAGATTTACTTTATTTACCCTTGTTCACAAAAGCTAAAGAAAATGAAGATGACAAAAATTTGATCATCGTTTACTTTCTCCCGATTTTCAATATTAATCGTGAATGTAATCCTGATAAATATCCTTAATCGCAATCAAATTGTCATCAAATTTAAAAATTCCGAATCGAATTGCTCTAATCTAAAGGAGGTGAGTGACAGTCAAAAATGAAGTTAGACATAAATGACAAATCGGTTGTTTTCTTTGATAATTATGCTATTCCAAAGCTTGTATTTACTTATTCATTTTTTACTACTTCTTCTATTTATTTTTGTATACTTTTAATACTGTCAAAGTAAATGAATTTTCAAAAAAAAAAAAAAAAAAAAAAAAATGGAACTCTGCTAAAATCCTGAAGGAAATTCGTTCGGTGGATGACGTCAAAAACCTGACTTTCCAAAGAGCAATATCTCGATTAATATTGAACGTAGAAAGTTGCTGTTTGGACAGATCTTATTATTTTCAGCTAATCTACAAGAATCAAGTATTAAAACACGATTCTGTGACCAGCACAACTGACCAATTGTCATAGGTTGATATGAATTAATATGACATTAGCATTATTTTTAAAATTTTTTTATTTTCAAATTTTAGTCCACCACTAGGGAGCCCACGCCCAGCCATGAGAAATCGTAAAATGAAGCCTGTGGCACCAGTTCCACCAAATATGCAAGCCAAAGAATCCCAACCAATTGTTAACCAAAGCCAATCGTCTAGCTCTAAAGTTGAGTCGCTCTCGCAGTCAACCCTTTCACCTCCGATTGGTTTTGAGCGCTTTCAAACCAGAGCCATTCCGGACCCAGGCGAGTCTGATTCACCAAAGAAGAGCATGGAGAAAATAGAACAAGGTTAGTTCATTTGGACATGAGCAGTTCTTGACTGACACAATGTAGAGTCAAAAGTCGTTTGCATCTAAGAAATTTTGAAGAAATATATTTCTGTGAATCATTTGATTATTTCGTACCATGTTGAATAATCTTTTTAGGTAATATAAACAGTAAAAGGGAGCTTAAAAAAAACGAAGTTCAGTTGAAAGTAACTGAACGAATGTATGTATTTTAGAAGCACCTATTTGTATTGGAAAATCGATGACAGATATGATGTTTCTGACACAAGCCTTGATATTGATGCCTTTCTGGCAGATTTGCTTCAGGTTATTTCAAGATAGATCTTAAATATAAAATGCTATCATCTCCTTTTTTTTCGCAATGCTTGTTAGAACAAATGGTGTCATAAACAGATTTATTCCTCAATACTGTATTACGAAAAAGTATCTAGCAATTCAACAATATTGTTGTGTAGTGTTTCATTTAAACCTCCCTTTTTCTTCTCTTTTTCCAGAAAAATCTGTAAGCGATAACAAACAGAGTGAAAAGGCAAAATGTGATATTCTAGTTGATAGTGATAATAGTGATGTAATGACCAGATCTCTGGATCTGTCTGCATTTAGTCGCAAAAACCATGAAATGAATAGTACAAGCAGTAATAACAACAATGAGAGTAAGGCAGACTCAAATTTGGTCTCCCGGAGTCAAAGTATCAGAAAATCAAGTGGACCCAATGCTGAGGGGCCCAAAAGCTCCACAGAACTCATCTACGGAACATTTGAACGGAAGCGACTGTCGCGACCAACACCTGCCCCAAGAACATCGCTGGAAACTGGAGAAGGAGCAACAAAACCCGCCATTCCGGAACGACCAGCTGCGTTGCAGCGGCCACTGAGTTCTTCTTTTAGGATCATAAGGCCTGGAGATGGCTCTGAAGGAGAGGTTCGTTTTTAAAATGGCTAATTATTGTAAATGATGTTCATCCTCTGAGTTTTCATTTTTCCACATTCTTAAAAAACAAAATCGATTATTGGGCTGTATTTAACGCCAGAGTGTTTCATAAATATTTGACAAAAAAACTCTTAGAAACTGAAGATTATAGTTCAATTAAGATGGTTTGAAGTTGGCAGACCAAAGATTGTTGCGACATAACAATTGTTACTCGGGAAACAGTCTCCACAGTCTGAAGCTGCCTGAAACTTTCAAGTGCAATTCTTAAGGCTTAAAGCATTTAGATGGCAGTGTGTAACTTTAGGCCCTCGATTGGTTCAGAAAAGAGTAAACGGCTTATAACTTATTTTATGTTATATTAAAGAGCATTTTCTGCAAATAACTCAAATATCGATCTTTGACACCATAATATAGAAATCTAGGGAAAAGATTACCTGGATGACTGCCTAAGAGATAGGCTCAAAGCTAGCTTTCCTCTCTTGGATATGATTGAACATTCTATTGCTGCTTTTGTTTTATTGATTTGGGGAGTCTTTTATATTTATTGGTGATTATATATGCTCGGCTTTAGATGTCCTCACATACAAGGCTATGCGCCAGTCGATCACAGAAGGAGAAGATGATGATAGAAATCGCTTTCTTAAAAACTTAGTTTCCATTCTTGAAGATCCCTTTTTCCATGGATGACATGGATTTATCTTTTATAACTTTTTCAAACTTTTAAGATGGAACTCGTAAAAAACCCATATAGATCAATATTTTCTTCACCATAATTGGACCTGTTGCCCAATTTTTTTAATGCCTTTCTGAAAAGCACTCAAAAACGAGAGTGCCTGCTTTTTTGCACTTTTCATTTTCCATTTCTTAATGGAAGTGATAACGATAGCTTTAAATTAAGTCATTTGCTGGTCAGACAAAACGGTTACAAAACCGTAAGACTAAAAGTGACCAATTTGTCATTATTCAAGACTCCTGGAAACATGTTTATTGGAAATCTCCTTTTTCTCATCTTCCTTTTTTGTTTGTCAGGTTTGCCTCCTTGAACGAACTCACCTCTACCAAACAGACAAACCTCTCACAGCAACTGTTCAGGACTCGACAGGAAAGAATGAGGTGGAGAGTTCAGCGTCTAAGAAAATAAGCAATTATGAGAATGTTACTTTAATCGGGAATAGGCCAAGACCAGCATCAATGTCCATAGCCGACAGGAAAGACATCGATAAACCAGACAAGCCTCCCAAACCAGATTTACTGACGGATAAAAGTGCACCTGCCTTGAGTCGAGCTCACTCAGATGGAAGCTCCATTGATGCAGGTATGCCATCTAAAATTTTAACGTCAGTAACCCCTATAATTTTCTAATATGATTATTAGTATTCTGATTGCCTTTTATACTAAACCCTCCTTATCGTTATGAGCAAAAAAAAACACTAAGAAGTGGCCCAAACCGTATGTAACAAAGTGGTGAAATGGTGCTGGGTCCACTCCATTTTGCGGGGAAAACAAAGCCAAGGAGTTCCAAAAATTATAATTAGAGTCAAAAATAATTTTTTTTTTATTTTTTTTAATATATTTTTTAACTCTAATGAGCACCAGTACAAAACTCAGGGGGCACTGTGACTGTGTTTGGCTCAGGCAGTTTGCATTAGAATTTCAAGTTGAGGTCACGCTGAGAGATCTATACCGATTTGGGTCTTTTTAGACCTCATCAGTAGACCACACTCATCAGTGAACTCAACTTAGCATCCTGCAAAATCCAAGACGCCATGAAAACACCGTCATGAATGGCATGACACAAAAGTGTGATCCTCGCGCCGTCTATCTTCACTGCCGAACAACTCTCATAACAAAACTTTATTTCCCTGATTTCAGTTCCAGCTCCAGCCGGTAAAACTCCTATGACGCGATTTACTAGGCCTACTCCACCTCCTCCTCCGCCCCCCTCATCCTCTGTGAAAAGAGAGGGCTCTCTGTCTGAAAGCACTGATTTATGACCAGGCACTGGTTGAGCCCCTCCGGAAGCTTGCTTAATCCTCAGTAAGTAAATCAGTCTAAGTGTGGATGTTATGATGAGGATTTTTGGACCCAAGGAAAAAGAATATACCAACATCTTACGTGAAATTTTCTTGAAAAAATGAATCGCCAGATGAAGAGAACTGATTAATGACAAGACTTGTTTCCTGTTGAGTGATGAATTACAGAAATTAAATCCAACAAAGTCTAGTCTTCAAAAAGTTCAGTATTTACTACTTAGTCACCAACAGCATAAATTCATTACTACTGGATTGAAAATGATAATTTGATGATAGCCTATGGTGTAGATTAAAGAGTTAGGCCTTGTCCACACAAGTGCGATGCGTGGAACTGGCAAACTTGATCTTGGAACAAGTTATAACCCAGCTATAACTTATTCCGCTGAACATGGATTTTCTCTAGGACTCCTAACTTTTATTTTGGTCCTGTCATGAATTCGATTGTTTGTTTATTTTTACATACGTCTTTTTGTTGGAATAGGAAACGGGAAAAGAATAAAGAATCATACTTAATGGTGAGGTCTCACCGGCCCCAATAAGTTTTATTAAAATACTTTTATATAGCACGACACAAAAACATAGGAACTTACAAACCGAACAGACGAAACACACTAAAATTCTAGCTGTCGGAGACAGGAAACAAAACAGGGGGAAAAGGGGGAAAAAAGAAATATCCTGCAAATGGAAAAATTATCTGCAAGTAATAGAGTTAATACTCTCAATACCTCCCCTCAGTTGGAGAATTTTTACAATATTAACAAAATTCCTTTTCGGCAAGAAACTTTTAACAACCTTCTTCTCACAGAAGTATAATTACACAGAAAAATATGACATCACTGTTTCCTCTACAGAAACAACACAATTTTACAATATGCCAGTATCTATTATAGAAAAAACAAATTTTTAAAAAAAAAATTGACAAAGAATAGAAATAGAAGCTACAATATATGGATCATATCAGAGGGAATACAACACTTCAGAAGGTGAAAACAAAATTAAAATTAAATTCTAAACGCTTGGGGATAGGAAAGAATTCTCTCTCAGCACTCACAAAAAACTCCTTTCCCACTCGTCTCAATTTTGAAAAATTTAGGGGACTGACAAAGCGGGGCATCTTCTCCGGGTAAACTTAAAGAGAAAAAAAACTTAAATACTAGGACTTTTTCACTTTTTCTCTATAACGTCTTTTCTTATTTCAGCGTCTTTGAACTTGTAGCCTTGATCCAAGAAATGATTTCTAAACAGTTTAATCATATTAGGTACGACAGCAAAGCAAAAAACCTTCTTAGATTTGTCACACGGATGTTGAAAAGATGTGAACTCACTAGAAAGTCCAAGTTCCTTTTGGAATGACCTGTTCTCACCTCCAAGATCACTGTTGATACCTACTACATCAAAATCAATATCATGAAAACGCTTTAAAACATCATCTAGGATGGCTTTAGTCATGTCCGTATCGTAATAAAAGGCAACTGGCTTTTTCCAGGAGCTCATTAAGCCACGGGCTATTAGAACTTGGACTTTTTCAACATCACCATAGACGGTGTCCGTTTGTCTACAATAGCAGTAAAGAGAATCAAGACTCATTTTGTCATAGGCGAACCATACCTCTCATAAATAATATAAACAATATAAATCTGTAAAAATAAGAATTAATAATAAACACAAGGAAAATTCTCGAAAAAATAAGACACAGAATGAAAAATAAAATTAAAATCAATGGATCAAACATTATAAACACCATTAAAAAAGCTAATAGCTTCAATCAGTAAATAATTTAAAATAAAATACTAATCTCACAAAACAAATATAAGTATAAAAAAAAGAAGAAGACAGCATCTGTCCTAACAAATAGAAGGGATGTTCAACTTGATTAGCACCGATTCATATGAGCAATATGATTGTGATCACAAAAAGATAGTATTGACCCGTTTAGTTTTCATTGTAAGTTTCTCAGAAAAGTTCCTCAAAAAGTTGGTCGATTACCTTCTGATAAAGCTGTCGGTCAATGGATTCCTCTACTCCTTTTCCTTCTAATTGCAGGATAGTTGGAAGCTGGCGTGTTACCCCATTGCAATTCTGCATTGAGAAGTCATCTAGCAATGAGCTAACATACTTTTCTTGGCTTAAACAGATCTCATTCTCACTACTTTGAGAAAACTGAATGGACAGGAAAAACTTTTCCACTTGCTGGGGTTTTTTGATAAAAAATCCGTGGAAATTTCCTTTGCTTCAAAATAGTACATCCAATTAGCTGTTACAAAATCTTTCAACTTAATTGCGTTCTTTCTTTAGAATTTAGAGCATCTAAATGCTCTCTTTTAGGCGGCTTTTCATTTGAATGTTCCTCTCTAAGTGCTGTTATCAAGCAATTTTTGGTTTGTCGAGAGACACTTTCATCGATGCAATCAAAATGCAGGAAAGACTTGCCCATATATTAGTACGAGCAAGAATTAGAGAAAACGCGAAAGAAAACCTGCCTGCATGAGACCGTTGAAGGCGTTTCCGAGGACTCTCAGCGTTGCGTCACTTTGCTGAGCCTCTCTAGCTCTCTCCTCTACCTGTCTCTCCTGTTCCCTCCTTTCTGCGAATGCTGCGTTGACCCCGCTCCTAGCCGCGTTCTCAATGCTCTCCGTCAGCGGGTTAGCAAATCTCCTACCCCACGTTGTCATTAGTCCCTCTTCTGGCCCGTACCTCTCTTCCTGTCATCTTGCCCACCTTGGGAGTGGGAATGCTTCTCTTCTCCCCGTCCTGTTTCCATTTGTGCTAGCTAAGCTCTCAAATCTACTCCCGCTGTTCCCACTTCCATACAACGTGGATACTCCCGTCCCAAAAGCTGTGCTGTTCTGACTCCCGTAAATGGTACTGCTCTGACTTCCAAATATGGTGTTTTGATTCCCATAGGTTGTGCTACTCTGACTCCTGAAGTTCTCACAACTGCCGTACCTGTTACTCCCTTCTAATGTGGACCTCGCTGTCCAAAGACTCGTACTCCCACTGTTCCCGTTCCTGTTGCTGCTACCCTCGCTTCTCGCTTCTTGTGCCTCTGGCGTGTTTCCCCTCCTCCTTTCTGCTGCAATTGCCCTTCTTTCCCTCTCATCTGCCATTCTCGTCGTTTCCGCTCCGAAAGGAGTATGCACTCCTATTCCTCCCCCTCCTATTAACGGAGCCACGTTTCCTGCCCATTTTTGTCGATTTTTCAACGATTTTTAAAGTTTCTCATATTTTGGGGCCTTGCCCCCCCCTGGTCCAGTTGGCTCGGAAATCGTTGTTTTGAGCGTTAGCTCTATTAATTCTGCGCTCTATGCTCTTTACCCGACTCGTTTATCTCTATTAGAACTCGAGTTATACCGATTTTTCGAATTTTTTGGGGCCTCGCCCCCCCTGGTCCGATTGGGGTCAAAATCAACTTTAGGAACGTTAGCTCTTGCGTTTCTGCTCACTTTGCCCTTTACCGCGCTCGATTATCTCTGTTAGAACCGGAGATATTCGGTTTTTAACATTCAGAATCTTCATCAGTCAATGAGGCTAATGTGGATCATTAGCCTCATTTTCGGCCTTTCTTTGACACCAGATTTTGATTTTTCTTAGGATACTTAAAAAGCCTACCAGGAGGAAGATCGCCGAGATGACTCCAATGATGGTCCACTGTGCAGCGTCGTGGCCAGTCATTATGTTGTTGGTGTTGACAATAATGTTTTGCTGCGCCTCTCTCTAGCGCTTCTTGCCAACCTCGAACCATGCGAAGTCGTTGTTTGACATGATGAAAAATAATTCGTAGGAAAAGTGATGTGAAGAGAAATTTGCAGGAGGAGTAAAAGATGTGGCCGGTCTGGGTGAATTTTGAAGATGTGAACGCTTTTCAAAACACAGATGTGCAATGAACAATGAGGAAGAGAGGAGGAAGGAGAGCTGATGATGAGAATGCTTTTTCGGCTTGTTTTAAAAAAATCAGTACATGTCTACAAAATTCCCACTCCTTCTTTTGTAGATCTTTTCACGAGCGCCTTGAATTGCTGTTTCTTCTTACGACGGAGGCGATTTTGTCTTCTTTTTGCTTCTTTTTCCTGTTTTCCTCGGGGTCGCTGTAGGCCTGGGGGGTCATCCTGGGATGTAAATTGGGACCACCCTGGGTGGCTTATGGCGTTGTCTGATTCATGCACGGCACGGGCTGTTTCGGGTCTCTCTGGCGATTTCTCAAAAAGGGGTAGGACCGGCAGGGAAGTTTCAACATGGGTGATGTCACTTTGAGAGGCGATCTCTTTCAACTTGAGTTGTTTGGAGTATTCTGCTACTTTTTGTTCGTAATCAGGGTGCCGAGAACGGTACTGTTGTAAGGATATCGCACGCATGGTAAGGGGGGTTTGACGCAACAAAACACTTGATCATTTGAGCGATGGTTAGCGCAAACTGATTTGGTTTGCAGCCGAGAGATGCAGTGGAAATTGCAGTGATATTCAATTTGGGGCGTACAATACAAGAAGAGGATGCACCAGCCTTGCAATCTGTGAAAATTGCAATTTTGGGAAGGAAGATAATTCTTGTTTGTTTATTGGTATGCGTCTTAGAATTTTTCGATTAATTATGACTTTCATGGTATCCATTTTTTAAGGCGGTCGGCTGGGACAATTCCATATTTTTCCTTTCCATGTTTGTCAGTCTTAATGCGGGAAAGATCGTGTGGTAACGCCTCCACAATCCGAAACAGTCCCTGAAATTTGATGCGGAGTTTCTCTGAAGTCTGCTTGTCCCTGGATGGTATGTGAAGTTAAATTTCGTCGCCAACGGAAAATGGCGGCCGAATTTTATGCCTGTTATGGGTCTGGCGCTGTTGCTGTTGAATTGACGGGTACTTGTCTAAAACTTCTTGGCGAATTTCATCTAACCTCTTCAGTCTATCAAGAACGGTGACATCTTCGCAGCGAGGGCGTAGAGCTGCATCCAATGGCAATTGGAATTCTTGGCCTGTCACCAAAAAGTAAGGGCTTTCGCCCGTAGATTTGTGGATAGACAAATTAATACTTGCTATGACTCCAGGAAGGATTTGCGGCCAATCAGATTGATTTGCGCTGGCGTAGCATCGTATAATATTTCCAACGGTGGACCAGATTCTTTCAATGGCGCCGTTCATCCGTGCTGCATAGGGGAGGGATGGTGATTTTTTAACCCCGAGTTGCTGAAGAGTGTCCAAAACGTAGGTTGACGCAAAACCAGGACCATTGTCCATGACAATTTCTGATGGGCATCCGAAAAGTGAAAATGTTTCTATAAAAAATGCAGCAATGGTCGGGCTGGTAACGTCTTTGACAGCTTTTAGGTAAATAAAACGTGTGTTGTAACATATAATTCCGAGCACGTGTTGAACTGATACCTAAGATTTGTGAGAACCCTGTTGTCGGATCGAGGAAGTAAAAATTTTCAGTAAAGATAGGTTCAAGTCGCATTCACGTTCATTTGAAGGAGCGGTCCGCCGCTGCGGCGGCTATCAGAACAAGTGATCGCAATGATTTTACAGATTCATAAATAGGAAAGCAAGTCAACAATTTATATCATCAAAAGGGTCCATGCTTTATATAGATCTAGATAAGACAACACCTTGCGAGTGATTAGAGGGATTAATCGCTGGTCTGGGGTGAAGGGCTGGGATCGTTTGCTGTGGCATTTGAGATTAAAGATCTTGTCCAGGGTAATTACATAAAGGGGTCGTCATCGTTGGAGACAGAGTTTGGGCCAAAGGTTGGCTCACAGCACTTCCTCCATACTTTTTGTGAAGAACTGATTAAGAAGGGGCCTGAAATATTTCCAAAAGGAAACTTTCCACCAATAACTATTGGCGGCAAGTAATATTAGACCATTAAGGCCTCTTGGTAGCTCAAATAAGGTTGAATACCGATGCTTAAAGAGCGACAAAGAACGAATCAGTGTTTACAGTGCACATTCTTCACATTTTGAACACATTTGTTTGTCGTCATAATTTTATAGTTTTATTGAAGTTGTAAGTAATTTTATTGAAAATTACTTACTTGCATTATCTTTCAAATTCCTGTCTTCAAATGCACGAAGTCGTGGTTCCGGTTCCGACAAAATCATGTGTACAGGATTCCTTGTTTCATGGAACAAATTTTGGGGAACTGATCAGATCGTCGAAAAATTTCTGCGTACCGCGCTTTTGTGGACAAGGCCTAAGGTAAAATCATCAAATCAATGGGTAATCAATTGATGTATGCAAATTTCATTTAAATACACTTCTCCTTTATTTTGAGTAAAAATAGAATGGAACAAAACACTCATCTCGCTTTCTCTTTCGGTTTGTCATGGTAGCACTTCGAACAGAAGTGTTCGAAATCTAGTTAAGTAAAGCCTGAAAAAGTTTTTAAAGGTGAAATTTAACTGTCATAAAGATAATTTGCAGATATACCATCCAAAAAAACGTATCACTCAGAGTTTTTGTAATCTTTTCATTTATTTTTCTCCTCAGGATCTTATGCTTATTTGGTCCGGAAGTGTTTAACTAATTGTCTCATCCTAGCCTCACTGGCATCTGCAAGATACTTATTGAATTTCTTCTGAGGCACATCAATCATTTTTTCCCCGCTATATTACCCAAGATTCTATCCTCTTTGTTTTTTTTTTTCTCTTGTAGACTCAATTTCAGATTAGTTGAAGTATACTTAAGCAAATTCCCAGCTTTTAAAAACACCGGAAATTGGAGGCTGATAAATTTCGTTTTTTGATATTATTGTCTATATTGATGAGTTGTGAGTGCAAAAGTATTTTAATTTTAAGGGTCGGAATGCAATAATAGGAAAGGAGTAAAACTTTTTTCATGGGAGAGGCAGTGAACAGCTATTACCAGGTAGCTAATGAGTTCTAATAGGAGCAGTAATAACTTTCATCTTTATCCAACTGTTCATGGTCTCTTGCATGACAGGTGTTGTAGTTTTGTAGTGTCAATTGTTAGTTTTTTATCCACACTTTTTTCCTCTGTCCTTTCTTTCTATTTGTTTTGTTCACTTCTAGAATAGAAGTAGGATTGCAAAATTAGATTTGTACCTTTTCTATTGCATTTAAGCAGGAATGTTTCGTCTGAAATGAAATTGAGTCGATCTGTCTATTCTTTTATTTTTGTTGACAGAGAATATTTATTTCGCAAAATCCCGCATATTACCAAGAAAGTTTGTCGTTTGATTGTAGTTATGTGAATTTGACCGTGCATTAATTTTGTAGACTAGTGTTTCTGGGTTTAAGAAACTTGTGAAGCAATTTTTTTTCTAACTGTTATTAATTTATCATGGAAACCGTTGCCTTTTAATATTTTTTGTTATACTTAATGAGTGAATCTACAAAAATGTGTAAAAAATTCCTCGGCCCCTGCTCTTTTTCCCAAAATATCATTAAATGATTTACAAAACTACTTAGGTTCATACTTGATTCTTTGCTGAATAACTTGAGTGAAGGATTTTTCACCTTGTTCGAATTGAAATAGAGAAATTGACGAAGTTTGTCTACCTTTAAGTTCAGGGATGAATAGTACAATTTTATGAAATGTGTGTGCTCAGTTTTCTTTGACATTGCTTCCAAAGTTAAACATTCGAGAAATAGTTCCTTCCAAGCACCTTCTGAAACTTTTGCACCGGAACGATAACTTTTTGTAAGAAATTATTTTGTGGTAATGTACATTGCAGAATTTTTTAACTTCATTTTCTTGTTCAAACCTGTATTGTGCAAATCTGCCCGATTGGACGCCTTATAGCATAGCATAATATTCAATCCCCCTAATAATTATTATTTCTCTTGTTGTTTTTTTGGTCTGTGTTACTACATCTACTTAAGTACCCAACGTAGTGAACAGAATTATCTCAATCGTGATTCATATATCTTTACATTGTTTGCTTAATTTGAGTAAAATCCGACAGTGCTATAACTTAGCAGAAGAGCATTTTTGAATCTGCATATTATCTTTTTTATTGCCTCATGTACTTAATCGAAAATCACCTTAAAATTCCATCAGGTTTCCCCAAGCTCTTTTTTTCGAACCTTAAAAAGTTAGAGTTAATGCATTTGAGTAATCTAAACACTCCTCATTGAATTTATGTCAAATTTTATTTTTTTGTAACATCTGTATCAAATTTGTCAAGACAGGTTGTCATTTATTTTATGATTGCATTGATTTCATACCAAAAGGCAAACTGCATGTTGGGTAATCTGGCCCTTCCTTGCAATATTTTATTTAATTTACTTATTGCTTAGATGACAAATATTCTCACATATTGTAGCAATTATTTCTGTCTGTCTCTCTGTATCCCTTTCTCATATTATTTTTAAAATTATATAAATTCTCGAACAGGGCCCCAAAAACCGAAGCAAATTTAACTATCAGGCATTTTGAAGTTAACATGGATACATAGAAGATATCAATCATGTATTTGTTAGTGCACATAGATTTATGGAGAATACTTTTTGAAATGTCAAGTAATGCACTTGCTCTAAATTTTTGGCGTATTACTTATCTCCGTTTTAATTCAAACATGGATTTCCTCACTTTGAATCACACAGTGCCTAGTAAAGTTCCCCTTTTTCATTGGTTTTTCAGCAATACATGGCCTAAAAATATTTTTCTTTCTCACAATTCTTCTCTTTAATTTGAATCATAACAAAAAACTGAGCCATGACCCCCTTGTCTTACGTGTGATCAATTTGATCGCATCACCAGACCCCCCTTCTCACTCAGTGTATTAAAATTAAACAACACTAGACTGCTGCCTTATACCTCTCAGCAAGAAATCAATCCAATCAAAAAAATTTTTTTTTTAAATTTATATTAGCATATGATGCATACAACCCTGTCAACTTTATGCAGTGGACTACTTATGTATACATTTCCAATTTTTATTATTACCATAAATTATTTTTGTGATCATTCAAAACTATTACTTTTTTAAATTTTGCCATGGAAATGAAACTGAAATGATTCAAAGGATGCAATGCTATTTAAACGTAAAAATGTGCGTTTTTAAAATTTTTCTCGGTGCTGTCCACTTCTCAATTTTGTGTATGTTAATGATTAGATGATTGAGTTTCTCCTTCCTTTTTTCTGAAATATCGCTTGTCCAGGAAATTGCCAGGCAATTAATAATGTTAAGGTTAATTTTCAGAATTGTTCAAAATCTGTTGAGAAAATTGCCTCTCTTATAATAAAACCACCTTGCCCTTGTAAATCCTTCAGTCATGGGTGTACTTGTATCGAGATCTATCAATATAATTTTTTGCTCTTTTATAATGCACTTCTAGGAACCAAATTGACAAGGATATTAATAGTGGAGACATATATTTTTCTGAAGGCGTTGGTTAAACTGCTCAAAATATGAAGTAGCTAAGATTAGCACTTGTTCAAATTTGATTTTTAGACTTTTTAAGTCTTTAAAGATAACCCAGTTTCATCTGAATTAATTTAGCTGTAGCTCGATGTATTCAGGAATATGAACTGAATGCAAAGGTTAAAAGTTACGACAGTTCATTGTCTGATATTTGCTCTTCGACTGGAATTTTCTCAAGCCTTTAAGTCTTAAATATGGCTCGCTATGTATGGCTCAGAATTTGAGTAGTAGGACCTTCTAACACATATTGCAATGTATCTATTGTTCGGCATCATTCTTTTATTTGTAAGGTACTAAAAAGCATTGTTTTTATTAGGAAGTAATCAGAACATTATTTTTATTTTAATTTCAGAAATCACCCTGTTGTTAAAAACCTTGAACTTTTTTTATGAAATATAGGCATTTAATTGTTTTTTAAACCTTATTGCTCTTCTCTGTCTGTCACTCAAAAATCCACTGAATCTTCTTTCTTGTCGTGAAACATAATTTGCCATTCTAAGACGACTGCGACATTTAATCTGATGTGGCATTCCCCCGAAAGCAACAAGGAGGGACCCTGCCTTAACGGAACTGGGTGCCCAAGTCTTACGCTCAAGGCCGCTCAAGGCCGCTCAAGCCCCCCAGGCCCTTCAGTTACTCCCTAAAGAACACCACACCAGATCAGAGCTCATGTATATAGCATCTTGTTTCTGAAAATAAAATTTCTGATAGGGTTTCAAAAGAAGAAATTCGGAAAATCAACATTGGACGTATTTATTACCATCAAATTCTGCAACATCAATTTTTGGGACTGATAAAAATATAAACATTAGAACTTCTGAACATAATTAAGAGAGCAGATTTAGAGAAGGGATCTTGTTATCCTAGAGTAAAAGTTGAGCAATACATGTTCAGCAACATAATCAAAATGAACTACCCCCCGTCTGATGGGGTTAAAGCTAGGCAAGATTTTCTGCTTCGGATATTTTGGATAATTCATATACATGTCTGTTCTAAAAAAGTTACATCAATTCCAAAAGCTTCTCAGTTATGCTGGACACCATTTCTTTTCAATTATTGATTTCTGATTTAAAGTCATAGTTGCGTATGGTTCTACAGGAAAATGACAACAAGGTCCCTTTTCTTAAGGTCTGTTTCATTTTGGGCCTACGCAGAGAGCTATTGCAACTTGTCATTACAAATCATGAGGTTGTATAATTCTGAATGGAATTAATTTCCACATCACTACTATTTGTGACTCCTAAGCAACCTGGTGTCCCTTGATAAGTGGAAACGTTTAGAAAATCATAGGTAAATAGCAAGTACTAAAACATCTAGAAAACCATGATCAAGTCTTTCAGGTGAATTTGATATTTTGTTACTTTTAAAATCCAGTTGATGGTGATTTCTCAATAACAGGAATAGCTAAAATGTACTAAATAAAATGTCTTAAGAATAAAAGTACACTAATTTTAACCAAATTTCATTTTAATGGTACTAAACTTCCTTTTTCCAGCTTTTGCACAAACTACTTTTTTTTTAGTGCCAAGTTATAATGATTAACAAACAAGTCATTGAATCAGGTATCAGCTCCTCCTGCGGGACCGCCGGGCGGTCCCGACAAACATGGCGGCACTGCCATGTTGTGTTGATTATATAACCTACACAGCGTGACTGACAACTGAAATCGTGAAATAAAAGATGATAGAAAAGACGAAACTTGGCAATCTTTGAGCTATTAGGTAGAGTTATTGCAGCCTTAAAAGTTTTTTTAACTTCAGGGACTTTTTTAAAGTTACTTTGATGAATGAATGATAAATGAATTTTGATTGTTTTGTCCTGTGTTATTCATAACCCATTGCGATATGACTATTCCTGTAATCGTGAAATCACCCTTGACTTCATCGCGTCAATTGTGCCAGTTGTGAAATCATGATTAAATGTTAAAACTCATGACTTAGCAAAAAATGATAAAATCCATCCAAATCAAGGTTTTGCGCTTGAAGTAGATATCTCCTTTCAAAAATCGTTCATCTTTCACCAAGGTGGTAACTGCCACAATATCCTTCACCTTGAATTGATCAATCACATAATTACAATTGTTGCTCAACGTGCAACACCCATGCAATTAAGACAGGACAAACCATGGTTATAGCTATCATGGTTGATATGTGATCTTCCTATTGCAATCTAAGAATTGGATGGATTTCATTGTGTTCTGCTAATGTGTAGGTTTTAAACATTTGAAAAAATTCCGTGCATAGCACATCTGACCCATCAAGTATTCCTTATCAGCTATGAATAAAATTTCTGGGGTTCTCGGCCTCCCAATCGGCTGTCATAAAATTGATTCAACTTCTGAGTTCTAAATTGATCACATAATAACAAAGCATCAAAAACAGTGTTCGTTCTCACCATGAAGCAGTTTGAGAAAACGCAAAATTCAGGAGCAAAGTGTTTGCACACTTCAAAATAAATTCAATCATGTTACTTATCTTAAGGACATGTTTCTAAATTAGCTAAATATGTTAATTGAGTAAATACACACTTAAACTAGGAATCTTAAGACAAACAAAAAATAACATTTCATAACTATTAGACATAAAGAGATCACAGTGTGAGCGTTTCCCTAACTGCTCTGGTCATAGCGCCTTGGAAAGTTTTGATGCTATGTTGTTAAGAGCTTCCTTTTTTCTGTACAGAAAGAAGAGTGTATCATTTAGGGTACAACAATTTTGATGAAAGCCTTCAGTATGATGGACTTTAAAGAGACACTTGCATTAGTGATATATTGTGGCGAATACACATTAAATCACCTTAAAAGAGATCCAATACAGAATTAAAATTTTGTTTGCATGAGAATACTGAAATTACTTGATAGCCGGTAGCAAACTGTTATATTTTTGATTAAATTAAGAAAGAGGCAAACGGCGGTCGGATCACATTCATTCAACTGCATGACATTTCATACTACGTGAGAGATCTTTCTTGAAAAAAAAGGATGGGCAAACCGATGAGGCAGACAGAAAAGCAAGTTGACTTGTTACATTCCAGGAATTTAGGACAAAGGTGAAAAAAATGACTCTAATAAATATTTTTGTGGGGTGGGTACCTAACATTCAAAAAAGTTTGGTCTAGGTGGTTTGGTTCATTCTCAAGAGTAATTCACCTATCTCACAGTCTGCGCTAGTCCTTAACTTTGTCTGAAAAAGATTTCTACGCGGTGACTTACAATGTAAGATTTACAGATGTGTAGGTGTAGGTACATAGTTCATTTTCAACTGCATTCATTAAAAATATTTTTTAAACCCTGTTGAACAAACTAATAATTCTATCTTTCTAGAAAAAAAAAGACAAACATTACACAATTCTGGACAAAAGTCAAATTCTAATTCTTTCACAGAATTGTTATCAATAAAAAAAAATCATTCAATTAAATATTTACAAAAAATAAAAACCTCTGTAATGATTTATTTTGGATATAATCCTGAACGGCAAGGACTTCAATCCTTTTTCTAACACCTATACTGACTCGCATCAATTTAACATTGATCATGTGTGATGGCGATCATTCGTTTATAATGATGACATGGCGTCACGATGAGGACTCATTCTGTGAATTCAACACTCTGAATGAAATTCAAAGGAAGCTTGGTACTTAAAAAGATTTTAAGGAGGACAGCCCTAATTACATACTTGCTTTACTTTGTGCGACCATTCGGTGAATTCAGTCTGTGTTTTTCAAGGAATTCAAACATATTCTATAAATTGCAAATGAATTGTAAACTTTTTGAGAATCAGAGCTTCTAAAAGATACGGTTGATGAATCTTCCTTGGTTTGAGACAAGTTAGAACAATGAAAATACAACAGTATAGATTGCCAAGTCCCAAATGAGGTGAAAACAAAACTGTAATTAGAGAGGTTTTACCATGTAATTTTCTGAAGTCTATTTAATGAGCAGTACCCCTCTTAGAGAAGCAATAGAACTCGCATTCATTTCTGGTTTTTGTTTTCATAAAAAAAGTACACACAGAGATCAGATATATAATGCTACAAATAAAACGCTTTTCACAGGTTTAATTCCTTTTTTTTTTCAATGCAGAATCATTTGGAGCCTCTGCTTCGGGGCGAGCTGTGAACAACATTAAATTGTAACTGAGTATCATTAACTGAAACATCATTAACATGAAATAGACGATCGCGAAAGAGAGAAATACAAAAGTAACATAAAAAATACAATCAATGTTAAAACATGATTTCATCAGAGATAACGATTATTAAAAGTATACAACTTTCGAGAGATTATATAGGCATGACTCAAACAGTGCCGTGTGAAACGATCACAGGCAAATGCAGTGCATAAATACACTTAGAATAACATCTATTTATTTATTTTAGAGGAACAATATATCTTGAGCTGTGCTCTAGAGCTGCCAGTACATCCTGTTTTTGTCTGACGTACAGGCGACCCTTTTTCCAAGGGTTCTGGAGCTGGAGCAATTTGAAATCGTCGCGAAGGCACCTCTCTCGAGCACCAATCACAGCCACGAGACAGAAATTGCTCAATTGATCGTTCGGGTAGATTGGACCACCTTTACCCTTGAAGACAACTGCCATATTTAACTGTTTGACCACCAGGTCCACGACTTCTCTGGCAGTTGTGCGAGGACTAACATGCAACTTCAGGCTTGTCCCTGCTGCCAGACCAGTCTCATATGCAGCGTAAACCTGAGGAGAGAAACATAAAGTTAATATTGAGTGGGAAGGTATAGGCATAGGTATAAGCCAAAGATTCTTCGCCGATTCCGTCTCCGTGTGGTGGGGCTCTTACATCCCTGAGACTGGTTTGCGCAGGAAGATAAAATAGTAAAAATCAAGTATTTAAACGGAACTAAGGTAATAATTGAAGACATTACAACTGAACAAACTATTTGAATTGAACTAACAAGAAAAATAGAGTGAACAACAAAATATCCTGCAATTTGCTTTACTTCTTCTTCTCATTCTCTTGGTTGGTGTTGGAGCTCTACATGAGCCCTCCATGCAAATTCGATTAATATTGAGTTAGTCAACACTTGTCCTAACTCCTTAAGTGCGACTTTCCGTTGCAACAAATTGCGGGAAAACGTCTTGTGGAGACATGACCTTAGTACCTTTGATTTTCTCAAGCAGATATAGGTACATACTTTTATGAAGGAGCCAGAATAGTAGATTCTCATAACCTTTCAAATTTCCATTATCTACTTCACTACTTTCTTTTATATAATTGGGACATAATACAGAAATGCTACCTGGGACACATGCAAGATTTAGTCTGCTCCCCCCTCCTCCACTTTGAGTACATCTTAATATTTCTTATCATATCCATTCTTAACAAAATTAAATGAAAATGACATAAAATAGAGAAGTCTGTGTGCAAGAAAAAATTTGAACTGGTTCTGCTGCTATTGTGCTTTTTGAAATGAGCAGACCAATCAAGTACTTTCAAGATAATGTTCTGCGGGCTGATAGTTGAAATTGATAGACAAAGCTATAGACAACGGAGAAAAAAGGGATATGGAAGGATCCTATTGGTGGAAGTAGGTGGTTGCAATTGACAAAGAATATAATTATGACTAACTAACAGCAACACACGAGAGACCCTACGGTAAGTCAATCATTTTCTCCCTAATTCCGTGGAAACCAACCATTTCAACCAATAAGATCGCTCCATACTCCTTACATCTTCTTTCTCTATCGTTTTGTCTACCAATTTCTTCAGCCCGCTGAGGTTTCTAATAAAAAAAAAAGTTGAGGGGAAAAAAAGAGGTGTCAAAGTGCGCAACAAATAAAAAATTCCTGGCTCTTCAATAACTAAAAATTGCAATTGTTGCTGACAAAAAAATTCAAAGCAGTTGCAAAAAAAGCAACAAAAAAAAACAAAGTGATATAGGTAAACTAAAAAAGGCAGAAGGACTTATATTTTAGACTTAATTTAAAATGGGAGCCGGACAAGTAGGTATTTCTTAAGGCATTCCAGCCGACCTTTTGACCCTTACTACCCCTTGCAAGGCACTCTAAAGACAAAATTTCATCCCTCTTTTGAATTACTCCAAACTGACCTGATCCTCTCCCTTCCCATTGTTCAGAAAATAGCAAGAAAATCATGAAAAATAGGTGACAAAATTATTATGATTGGAAAATATATACTTCATTTTTCAAAGTGGGAGGTTTACATAAGACCAGGTTTGACCCCTCTCCCCCTAGTAAGACCCTATAAAGCAACATCAAACTCCCCTTCCCTTCAGTAGCTTTTATGAAACTTAAATAGTCTATCCATTAAAGGAACTGAAAATTGTGATAAAAGGAACAAAAAACACAACAAAGATGCAAACTGCGTGCTAATAATTGATACCGCAGTTACCTCAATGTTGATGTAAGTAAATTCCTCAAGCTGCTTATGGATCCTGTGAAAAACGTTCTCTGGTTTAATTTTGTTACGGGTACAGAATTATAAGAGGAAATTTCTATAAAATTCAGTATTCAATTAGTTAGTTGCTTTAAGTGAGAAACTGTCCATTGGGCGTAGCAGGTTTTTCGAAATTGACAACTGGAACCTATCCTGAAATATTAGGCCATATTCACAACTCTTCGACAACGGCCTCTGTCTCCCTTTGGTAGACGTATTATTTCTGCTCTGCCATTTTCATATCTGTGCTTTGAGACGATAAGAGAGTTCTAAGATTTTAAACTTCACTCTAAGAGCCAATTTATTTGGCATCAGCACAACCAAAGGATCACATATTTGCAAACTGTAAGAGGTTTAGCAACCCTCTTCCCTTGCAGATCTAGCGTCCACGATGGGATTCTATGTTCGTTTTTTAAATTAATAGTTATAAGTTTTAAGAAAATTTGTCATTCTTTCTGACTGTTATGGGTCCAAAAACTTGACTCACATGAATTTTATAGGCACAAAAACAGTATTTGACACAAACTCGGAAATAAATATTAGACTAAAATGAAAGGAGACTTTGAGAGGAAAAATCGAGTGAGGAGAAATTAGAATTTACCTGCAAAATTCCTGGAGAAGGTGTCGGCATGGTGACTCCGTCTTCTTCCCCCTCACTCTTGCTCCTTACGGCAGACACTGACTCATCAGAAGAAAGAGAACGCAGACTGCCAGAGACATTTAACATGCTACCCCTGAAATTGTACAGAATTGAGGCATGACGCAAACATGAAAAATGAGCTACATTGTGAACTAGTATTCACCTCTGTAGAATAATAAATCTCTATTAACAATAATGTAAAAATTTGACCTTTGGACGTTTTTAAGTATTCTTCTTTAATCTGCAAAGCGCATCCTGCAGTATTCAATCCTAGGAAATGCAGAATTGATAAATTTTATTCGATACATTTTGTTATCACTATGAATCATCCAACTTCCTAAATTTTTATTTTTCTTCAGATATTGTTTTACACATGAAGAGGTACAACAGGTTGATTTTCTTGGTCATTGGCGGGTGATAATCTCTGGATTAGCCTGCTATCCTCAAATTTTTAAATTATGGTCTGTGTTATTTATTGCTGCACTGCCTCTCTTTAGGAGCCTGGACTCTAAGAAGTTGGGCCCTGAATTGGCCAAGAAAGGAATCTCTATTACAGTTTTCATTCATAAAAATTGATAGGATGAAGTTGGTTTAATTCTTAGTCTAGTTTAACTAAGGAGGCAAACATTCCAATTATAGATGGATAAGTTCCCAGACTCAGTGTTGACGACTTTCTTCTGTACAAAAATAACATGTGTCTCTCCCAGAGCACAAGTCCCACAGTTAAACAATAAGTTTCGACTTAACTTACCCAGGTGTATTGTGTAGCAGAGGCGGAGTTGCCAGCCTAGAGCAAGATGCATGATGAGCTAACGTGTCTTCACTTTTTGACGGAGGGAGCCTGCTTGTACTACAGCTGGGAACCATGACTGGAAAAGAATCGTGGTAATGTTAGATCAAGCAACAAAAGTGAGCAACTGGAGAATCAATTTTCATAATTTTCCATTTTAATTTATTTACTCATTTATTTGTTTTTTCATAGATAAACGTTCATAACCGAGAGGAATGGAACAAAAATTGATTAATATTAAGACAGAAGTGTTGCTTTGCTAGTGTTCAGCAGGATGGGTAGTTTTACCTATTTCTTAATTTTTTCTTCTACCGTGTTCAAAAAATTAAGTTGTAGGCCAATGAATTCATTTTTGAGCCAGTAAAAGGCATCGAGTTGGATTACTATCTTCACCTTTGAGTCCTGAACAAGACACATCAAAAGTTTGAAAAAACTTAAAGTTTTGAATGATTCAGTAACTCCGAATTGTCTTGACTCACGTTTTGATTGATATTTTTGGGTGTCTTTTGTCGAGCCATTCATTAAAAGAATTTCTCTGAAAGGGGGTGCCAATACCTGCATTTAGTTTTTCAGCAATGAAGTTTCTGTCGTGAATAGTCACACATCACTCGGCATTAACTTTTATGACTCTTGTTCTTTCATGGCAGTCAGGAGAGATTGAGTCCAAATTTTGAGTTGGAGATAGAAGGAAGATTTTAGAGGTGCAGGAGCCATTAGAGTGATTTTAACCTCCATCTTATAATTCAAAATATGATTCACAACAGGATGAAAACTTACTTGGGTTGATTATGGGTATTGGAGGTGGCGGCCTTGTGGGTATCACAGTAGGTGGGTTTACTATGGATGTCGTGGAGCAACTTGCGTAGCTTAGCTGCTGCTCGCTGCGACTGAGCTCAGCTGTCGCTGTTCCAAGGAGTTTGGCGATGCCTGGCCCAGGCCAACTACCCCGCGTTCTCACTCCAGACGGTCCCGGAACTGGCGGTTCAAGTAGCTGCTGTTTAAAGACACAATGAAGAGAATAAAATTGAGGCTGGTGTATTATAACTGTTCCCTGGTATACCAGGGATACAGTCATTAGAGTTGTAGTCTCTTGGAGCCCATATCATAACCATTCAAAGACAATAAAAGCTCCAGCTTGAGGCAAAGCACTCAAAACAAGTTCTGAAAATGTGATTAAGATGGATAAATTGAACCAGAAATGGACAGACAAATGTATTGATACTTAATCCTGAAGTGGGATGTAACTGCCAATCTCCTGACTTCACCCAAAAATTTTGATGGCCACTTTAACAGCAAGAATGATTTTCAAAAGTCATTTACGGTAATTCGAAAGCTAAAGAATTTTTTGGAAATGGAGCGAGGAATTTTACAGGCAGCAAGACCACAACAGGTATCGGTATTGCACCAGTTTTTTAAGCCCCAACTTCGGCCTGTCCTCTGTTTTACAGACACCTAAGTCTGATTTTTAAGAAGACTTTTAAAAATGATGTGCGGTGAAATTATAAAATTGATGGCCACACTCAAAATGGAAAAAAATGAAAAAAAATTAAAAAAAAGACTGAGACACAGAAAATTCATGTTTCTTGGAAAGTTGGTAAATCCTATTGTACCCTTCCTTTAAAAGGTTTCCGAGTCCAAAAAATAAGTCTAATCATTGATGACTTAAATGAAGTTTTTTACTGAAAATATTCTAAAATGAAAAAGTAAATACAATTTTACAAACTGTGATCCTAGTAAAAGGAAAAAAAAGCTTACTCTGGGCAGAGGAGACTCGGTAGTAGCACTTGGGTTGCGTGGGTGCGTTGCTAGGAGCTGCTTCATAACTGTTGGGGTTGGCGAGTTTCGGTCACGAGCAAAATTGAGCATGTCCATCAGCCAGCGGACAGATTTCCAGCAATCGCTTAGATTGGATTGCAAAGCTTCTAAACGCGTCAGTCTCTCTTTAGCTATGGCAACTTCAGAATTGCTAAATGCCTGGAAAAGAGAGTGATTTTGAATATTTTTAGCTCAGAAATTAAGAAGAAGAGCGAAGAAAAGAATGTCAACTTGACAGCTTGAAACTACATCAACTGTTTTTAATTCATTAGAAAGAATATAAAAGCTGAACTATAGACTGATTATTAAACTTTGATTGATTTTCTGCAACCTTGTTCCAGCTTTATTTCGTATACGTGAAATGCAAGGGGAGGAGAAAATGTTTAAGGGCGGTTTTCCCTCTGAATAATGAAGAAACTCTTTTAATTCTACACTTTGCTGTTGACTGAATAATTATCGCCCGAGAGCAAAAAGATGCACAGAACGTTACTCAATAGTTGGCGGCTGAGCATCAAAAATGGGGCTTCCAGGTTAATATGAGTGAAGCAAAAAAGTTAACTGTGTTAAGAGCTGTGACCATTTGAACCTAAATTGCTCTGATCTTGGGATCACTTCAAAGCGATTTAAGATCCTTTCTCCAAACTTTAAAAATCTGTCAACCTCCAATCAATAACTGAGAAGTAAAATGTTAAAAATGGATGATTCATACCTCCCTATGACTATGTTGAGCGAGAGCAGTGTTCAGTTCAAATATACAACTAAGACGAGAATAACGAGAAATAAAAAGTTTTTGGTAGGCTTGAAGATAAGCGGTTTCAAATACAGGAACAGGCAATGCAATCATGTCGTTGCGTGGGAAAGGAAAGTCTTTTTGACCTGGCGGAGCACAGGCTACTTCGATCGGTGGTATCACCATCAACAAACTAACGTCCGCACTCATCTCTACCACTTCGATGTCATAGAAGCTGCAAAAGAACGAAAAATGATGCTAAAATGAGGAAAGCAAGCAGACGCATAATAAAACTCAAGGAAACAGGCTGAGTAGCTAAGAGCATAAACAAAAGGAATAAGGTGAAAGACATTGGAAGTCTTAAACTCAAACTCAAATTGTTTTTAAAACTGCTGACAAGTCCCAGAATTTTCTTCATTCTATCACTAGAACAATTTTGACAGATTAATTCTATAACAGAGAAATCTTGTGGGAGATGCTCCAGTGATGAAAACATCCGAGCTCTGAAATGCTCGAGTCATTTTAAAAATAATTTGGTGTCTGAAGTTGTGATTTTTTTTTGCTACCTCCCTTGTGTTTGGCTAGAAAATTTAAAAATCAATACCAATCAAAGAGAAGATTTTGATGGGTAATTGAATATATAGAGAGAGATTGCATCCATCACATAAAACACACATAAAATACCCGTTACATTGCTAATACGTGTTACAAAGATGTAAAAATTGAAAACTATTTTTTAGTTTTAAGTTGCAAATCTCTTTGCTACATGAGAACATGTATAAAAGGATGTCACCACAAAGCTACAAAACCACAATGAAAAAAACTTTGTGAAGAATTTAGGAAGGTGCCATTAATAAACCCATTTGTGAGAAAGATCTTTGCAAAAATTTGTCTTGTTTCAAAGATACTCAAAGTTATGAGACTTCCATGTTGAAAAAATGCATTGACAAAATGAGAATTGTTGGACGTACCGGTGTTGGTTGATGTGTTCAGGCAGTACTTGCATGTAAGTGAATAACCGTTCGGCAGCTGCGGCGATCTGATCAGCAAAGAGCTTCTGTTGTTCTGTTCCGTTAGATGCATCCCCTTGGCCGTTAACTAGCCAATCCCATTCTTCACTGTAATTCAGAATAAAACAACGAATAGAATCAACTAAGACAACTTCAAAGACCTCCTGTTTCAAATTCATGCTGTCAAGACTTTGAAGTTCAATAAAATTTTGGACCTAATTTTTGTGATACAATGAACCCTAAATTGACAGAGCCTGATTTAAGAGTAAATCAGCTCAGGTATATTTTCAATGCAATACCAGAGGCAAAAGGTTGCAATCAACATTTTTCGAAAAATAAAATTAAATAAAATTCTGAAAATGCTTAGGAGGGGATCTATATAAGTGAAAAATCTAGTAAAGATCTCATGCCATACATTGAAATTTTAAATATTTCAGTCCAAAAGAATTTGTGGAAGAGACATCATGCTCAGAATGTAGATGGAATGTTGAAAAAACAAAAAAATTTGGTGATTCCAATAGACTGTGTAGGCTGATGGTCAAATTTTTAAGATCTTTCATGAGAGGCAGTTGAAACCATTGGCGGATCCAGCGATTTGGCAACACCGGATTTCCTCCATTTAAACGTATGGAAATGTGTCGATTCTCGGAGGGGCCAGGTGCTCCGACAAGAATCGATTATTTAGCATAGGTTTAAATGAAGCCAATCCGGTGTTGCCAAATTGCTGGATCCGCCTCTGGCTGCAACAAGCATTTTTCAAAGTTGTAGTGATAATGACCAAACTAAATAAGAATGATGATTCAGCGATAAATAATTTTGAGCATAAAATCTCTGACTTACGCTGTGACATGTGGATTAGCCCTGATTTTGCAATGCGGTGGTACATTTGGTGTTTTTGTTGGAACGATGACATACAGAAGATCTACTGAGCTGCGCATTTTCAGATAGCCCAAGTACAAACCCCTTTGTAACTTCATGCTACTCACTTGATGATAGGTAATTTGCTCCTGAAAAACAAACAAGACATTATGTCTACTATTTCTAACAACCGGCAACTTTTAGGCTGAAATGATTTACTCAGATGCACAGAAAAGGTGAACAGAACAAGTTTTTTTCTTTATTTAGAAAAATAAAAAAATGTACCGTGAGTGAGTAAAATACATAATGTACCTTTAGAAATTAAGTGGCAGGTGATTTAGGATAGAATTTGATTCAAAGTAAATTAAGCAGAAAAGATAGCATTAAAAACTCCTTGTTCAACTCTGCAACGTCAGTAAGAAATTTGTAGGAACCAAAGGTGCGGTTTTACTGTAAGAAAACTTCGATAACCAAAACACGAAAACCTTCATTTGTTCTTTTTTTATTTTACTTTAAAATCAACTTTGAGAGTGCAAATTGGCTCAATCTTTTGACTTCAATCAAACTGCATGAATCAAATTGCACAAGGGCTTTTTTTTCTTTTTTTTTTTTTTTAAAAAAAAGAAAGATCAGATAAACTCACCTGAATTGAAAACATAAGAAGCTCACTGACATTGGCTCCCGCAGGATCTATCATACACGTTCGCTTCATGATTTTTCCCAGAGGCAACCACTTCGAGTTGAGAACAGAAATGTTCTTGGGATTCCGACAGTAATTTATGGTACATATTATGGTGGTCCCATCTGTATCTTTTAATATCCTATGGTAGAGTTGGCCGAGGTCTTGAACACCTAAGGCAGCCTGGAACACAAAACAATGTGATAACAGAGATTATAGAAGAGCGTATAATCACAAATTTGGACGTTATTGTGCAAAAAGGAATATATTTTGCAGTTCATAGCTCATTTTACAAACAATGTGTGGGTCAGTGGTTTTCCTATACTGATATAATTTTTTACGTAAAAGCCAGGAATTATAGTTCCTTATTGCAAAATGTAGTCCCTTTGCTCGAAGATACCTAAACAACTCACTCCAGCTGTGTTATTATACATCATAAGTATTTTTACATATGGAACATTGAAGCAGGTGAGTTTAAACAAACCCTGTGAAAAATTAAAGCCAGTGGGAGGTATTTTGATGTAAAAATACGCTCAATAAAATTTCGGTGGTCAAATTCCTTGGAACTTCACTAGCTTCAGAGAAATTCGTATTGAAAAGTTATTTACACTCAGACAAGGATTCTCTTGAAATATGGGACACTTCTCCATTGATCTTGTTGATGAGCTGTTGTACCACTGTTGCTGCAGCACAAGTATTCTAGTAAAGTAGAGGTAAGTAGAAAGCAAAAAGCACTCACTGTCAGCTGAGCACTTAAAAACTTAAAAATTTAACACACCTGCATCTGCATTGCGGCTGTAAGTAACTTGACTCTAAAATGTACAGATGATGAATTTAGTGATTTTTCCATGTCATTTTTCATCCATTTAATATCCTCCCACGTGCAGGAAACCTGAAGAGAAAATAACATAAGAATCAAATTGAAAACACTTATGTTTCACAAATAAAATATAAATTACCGTATACGCCCGCAGATAACCTGCACCTTTTTTCCCAATTTTGAGGCTCGAAAATCAGGGTGCAGGTTACCTGTGAAACTCACGAAATTGCATACCTATCAGGCGCTACTTTACTATGCTAACAAAAAAAACCACCGTGGGCGCGTGTGGGTTTTACGGGAATTTTTTTTTTGACCCTCTCAAAATCTGGGGTGTGGGTTATCCAAGTGTGTGGATTTTCTGTGGGCGCATATGGTAACAGAAATATTATTAGGTCACAATGAGACAAAGAAAGAAAAATATTTGGTTTAAAATTTTAGTAAAAGAGAGAACTAAAAGCTCCTAAAATTTTGCTGAATCAAAAAGTTTGTGCTTCCTTAAAGGATCAAATTAACAATCCAAAAAGAGAGAGAAAAAGAGGGTGCTGACTTGTTTTACATATTATTTTTTCAGACAGAACGCAGGTTTCAAACAATGAAACACATTCAATACAGTTTTCTTCTAAGAATAAACTTGAGTTGTGTGCGTAAGACTTAGGGTCCATTACGTCAGAAGTTATAATTGTATAAAATATTTGTTTGTTTCATAACGTTAGCGGGTGTGAGTTTGAAATAAAGAGAGATCTTCTTACCTTCAGGAACCAATGGAAATCATGATTCAATGCTCCTGGGTAAGTTTCATCCACTTCAATCACAGGCAAAAACTCTTCATTTGTTACTAAAACTTTGTCCTCATGGTAAAATAGACTAGACAAAAATACACCTCTGAAACAAAAAAAGGAATAAAATGAGATACAAAAATAAAATAAAAAATTGAAGAGGAGACGCTTCCCATGGTCAGTTAAATAATGATCTCATAAGACTTTAAGTGTGGCGACTTATGGGATGAAGTGAGAGTTCTTCCCTTATTCACACTTCACGACAGATAGTTACAGCTGAAATTGGGGGTTTTCAAGGAATTTCAAGGAGATCTGAATGGCAAAACAAAAAATTTTCCAGGATGTTTAAAGGGCTTCAAACAAATTTTGAAGCGCTTTCTAGGGCATAAACTAACCTTTACAGACCTTAAAAATAAAAGTTTCCTCTTCCTTTCTTCTTTGCGGTCTATGTACATAAAGGGAGGGATGTGCATCATAGAGATATGAGTTGTGATTCCCCCCTAATATAGTTATGCATCACAATTCTGGCTTTTTACTGGTTTAGGAACATATTGCTTCTCCACAAATTAGATCTCTTCCAAGCCACATGACATTTCAAAATTGACCTCTCCAATTTCACTGGTTAGGTGATGATTTATGAAGGCATCTTCAGATTTGAAACCCAGTCCTCACCTTCGCAAGTGTTTCTGAAATTTGGAGGTAGCTGTGAATAACTGTTTGATGGTGGTTTTCTTCTTCCGTTGCCCGGCTTGAGAGTCTGAAACTGATGGATCTTTGAAATCTTCGATATCTGGTCGGTAAATTCGGATTTCATTGAATAGGTCCTCTAAAAGTTCTATCTTATCTGTACCCAGTCTTTCTTCTTTTTGTGAGATATCACGCCAACCTGACAAAAAAGCAAAAATTAATTGAAATTAATTGACATGATCTCTATTTGTTTAAGTATGATATACAACAAAAAGGACATTGCCAGATGGTTTTGCCTTCAATTTTGTCACGGATCAACTAGAAAAGTTCACTTGATGAACAGGTTTGTTTTCATCAATGTTGGCAAAGAGACGACCGTGTGAAAACCCCTTACAATCGCAGTAAAATGTGACAAATTTTTTAATTGCTTTCACAATTAATTACCCATTTGCTACTTAAATATGATGTTATGTCACTACAAAAATAAGATGATATACTTAGGAATCTAAAAATTGAAACAACTGACCAACTTACTGCATTGTTGTCAGTTATCATTGAATTCAAGTAATTAAGTCTAGAGAGGACAAAAAATTGGGATGAGAAACTGTTAGTGCTTGATAAAATGATGAAGCATTAATGAGCTTTTTCCTCACATTTTCTTTACTATTTTCAGACTACGAGGCTTCACTTTTCATGAGCATCAACGGCAGAGTGGGTGGTTTCTACTGAAATTTCAGTTATTAAAAAATTACAAAAGTCATTCCATAGAGATACGAAAAGAAGAGAGTCATTTCCATAGAGTTCCATATAGGTAGATATGCCAAATGTTCAATGACACATCGCAAAGAAGAATATTCACAATTGAAAATCTTTTAAAGTCTATTTTAATATCAAGACTTCATCCACAATATCATTTACTCACTGGAAAAAAAATTGTGAATCAGAAGTTTTTCTTATAAAAACAAATTAAAAACTGAGATCAACAGTGACGGCATGTATCAGGGGCTTGAGGGAGGGGAGGACTTTCTGCTGGAAGCCCTGGACTTTGGGCTTAAAAGTTATACAAAAAAGGTAATTCCCACAGTAATAATGTCATTTTTTTGCGGTATAAATGTCAATCTCAGGGTAAAAACGTGACAAAGACTTTGATAAGCAAAAAAAAGAGGTTGTCACTTTCAAGGCCCCCCGCCCCACTTTTTGGACCTGCGCACTGCTTCTGGAGATAAAATCAGCAAATTTGGTCAGAATATTTTCAGATTCAGAATATGTACTGGTCAGACTAGGGCAACTTACTTGAGGGTATAACTGAAGCGGGCATTGAGTTTTTGAAAGGGCTGAATCCTTTGAGATTGCCGCAGGCAACTCTAAAGAAGTAACGATCTCCATGAGTTAAGTTTTCAACATTAACAGCAGCTTGCTTTGCATCTAATACGTCCAGAGATCCAGTTAAATTCCTAAAATTACTGTCTTTACTCCACTCAACTGAAACAAAGATAGGTAGTTAGTCAAAAGAAACATGCCAGACTTTCATGAGTAAATTTTAAGAATTAAAAGGTGATACATAATGTTGTCAATAAGGATGCCTAATGTTTTGAATATCACATGCTAGAAATTAGCTCCTTCTGGATTGGTGAATGTGAAAATTGTAAAACAATCCGCGAATGGTCCATGATATTTGGGTTGGGTGTATGTAGTTGGATCATTTAGACTAAGAGCTATATTTTTTCGCGTAAAGAACCTCGCACAGAGCATGGGCTCAGCGGCTCTCTATGAAAGCCGATGAAACTTTAATAGATTATTATAAAGTTCATAATTAAGGAAAATCCAAAAAATTAGCTCATTTTTGCGAGTGGAAGCCGAGATATTCGCAATTTAATCCGGACTATTTTCTATTATGCCGCAGCATGACAGAGGAATTCTGAGTCCCCTTTCCTCTCGTTGTTCAACAATCTCGATCAGACCTCACGTTACTCACATGTAGATAGGTGCTTGCTTATGCGCTCGGCCGGTGCGAATGCCGATGCTATCTCCCTCTCCCCGCATCTGTCACTTCTGTCTCAGCAACTACATTTCAGATTAAACCGGCCGGCGGCGCCGGCAAGGGAGAGGTGCGAGAAGCAGGAAACTCCATATCGCACGCCCGAAAGGAGCGTCCTATGGAAAGGAGTGAGTGTAAACAATGCGACATCGTAGTTACCTGGTGGGGAGAGGGGGTTTCCTGGCCGAAGTGCTCAAGCAAGGTAAGGCGACGTGGAGAATTTACCTCTGCCGCATAGAAAATGGTATGGGTTCAAACGCGAATATCTCGGCTTCTACTCGCAAAAGTGAGCTAATTTTTTGGCTTTCCCTTAATTAAGAAGTTTATATCAATCTAATAAAGTTTCATTGACTTTCATAGAGAGCCGCTGATCCCATGCTCTGTGCTGGGTTCTTTTGTTCATGGTAATGCTTCAATGCATTTTATATTCTATCAATCTTCTAGAGGGTCTGTCAATTCAACTGGCTTAGATGAATCCCGCTGATTGAGTTAATTATAGTACTTGAAAGACGGAGAATGTTTCAATTTAAATTTAATCACCAATGACTAAAGATCAGTTACGGATGAAAACATCATTACTCACCTTTGAATTTAGTGGTTACAGGTGTATCTTGATGATCTGGTTCCTTGAATCTTACGGTAACTGAGGTTGATTGCGTTACCTCTGCCTCTACAACAGATGGGGGATCAGGTACTCCTAAAAAAGATCATGCAAGACACACAATTAGAGAAGTTCTTATCAAAGTCTAATCGTTATAATGTGTTGAAAATTTGAAACTGTAAGGTAAACAAAACAATGTGCTTTTATGTTGCCAAGATGTAATACCGAATTACTTAATTATAATTTTTAGTTACCATTGGGCAACATTGCTAATCAACTCCCGCTCTTTTTTCCCGCCAATGCACGACTCGTTCAAAATTTTGGCGGAAGATTCAAATTGACGGCAAACTCGTAGAGGACGCGCTTGCTGAGCAAAATCATCCCTCTCTTCCTTTTCGATTTCTCTAAGGCTCTTGAGTGTCGGCCGTAATTACATCGCCAAAACTTGGCATTTGATCGACTATTACTTTGGATTTGTACAATTAAATACAAAAAAAGGAAAATACGACAATTCCACTCGGCAACATTGCCAACCAAGTCCCGCTCTTTTTTCCCGCTATTGCACCATTCATTCAAATTTTTGGTGGGAGATTCAAATCGACGGCAAGCTTGGAAAGGACCGCTAACGGAGCAAAATTAGAAAAAAGCGAAATCATCCCTCTCCTCCTTTTTACTTTCTTTGACACATTTTGGTGAAAATCTCTGAAAATTTGGTGAAAATTGAACACATGCCAGATTGTCAAAAAGACGTACAATAAAAGCTCGCTAAGTGATCGAACTATACAGAAATGCCGATTGAGTCGAATTTTTTCTCGGTAGTAGCTAAAAATAGTTTTCGGGCAAAATTTGTTGTTCGCAACGTCGAACCGACTCCAGAACGCAAATAAAGGTGACTTGACGATTTTCCCCGACTTTTTAAAATTCCCTGACATATTCTGGTGTTCTCTGACTATACAAAAACCTGATTTTTCGAATGGCGATATCTCGTTTAATATTGAACTTAGAAAGTTGCTGTCTGCACAGATCTTATTATTTTTCGCTGTTCTTTGAGAGGCAAGCATGAAAACACGATTATGTGTGACTTGACGATTTTCCCTGACTTCTTAAAATTCCCTAACATATCCTGGTATTCTCTGACTATACAAAAACTTGACTTTTCAAATGGCGATATCTTGTTCAATATTGAACGTAGAAAATTGCTGTTTGGACAGATCTTATTATTTTTCGCTGCTCTTTAAGAAGCAAGCACGGAAACACGATTATGAGTAAACCTTTCCGAGATAAGAGGTGACTTACTAGTCTGGTCGAATCCAGAGATCATTTTCCTGAGTCCTCTCAGTCGGCGCTCCCAGAGGGAGACCTTTTAAAATTCCCTGACATCTCCTGGTATTCTCTGACTATACAAAAATTTAACTTTTCAAATGGCGATATCTCGTTTAATATTGAACGTAGAAAGTTGCTGTTTGGACAGATCTTATTATTTTTCGCTGCTCTTTTTTAAAAGGCAAGCTATGTGTGAAGTATTCTGAGATGAGAGGTGACTTACTAGTCTGGTCGAATCCGGCGATCATTTTCCTGAGTCCTCTGAGTCGGCGCTCCCAGAGGGAATAGTTCTTGGTTGCCTCGGCGACGGCGGCGGCGGCGGCGGTGGCTGCTGCGGTGGTGGCGCTGCTTTTGGAGGTGGAGGTGGAGGCGGAGGCGCAGAGGGCGCTCGCCGCCGCCTCGTCCTGCTCCAGGCTCCCCCGCAGCTCGTCCAGCTTCACCTCCGCCTCGCTCATCAGGTCCCGCAGGTGGCTCCCCATACCGTCCCCATCACAATCTGCAAAACATTTAAACACAAATATCACAAAAAGTTCCCACTTACTCAGGATAAATGGGTGGCCGAGGGGAGGGGGGGGGACCTAACACTCTAATGACGTCTCGTCCAAACTCACGTACACGGAGAAAAAAACCTCGTGCGTGGGACCCGAAGTTCAGGTCATATGGATCTCTGAAGTTTTCGGATTGAGTATCTGAACACTTAAGGTCTAGCTGACGAGGTTCGAATCACACATCTGAAACTTCAGTTCTTACATCTGAAGTACTTTACATTACTACATTAGAAGTTTTTCGAAAGTGAGAACTGCAGTTTTTCGGATGTGAAAACCGAAGTACTTCAGATGTAGGAACTGAAGTTTCAGATGTGTGATCCAAACCTCAGCAGCTGGACCTAAAGTGTTCAGATGCTCAATCCGAAAACTTCAGAGATCCATATGACCTAAACTTCGGGTCCCATGCACGAAGTTTTTTTCTTCGTGTAGAGAGCCGATTTTCATAGAATTCGTCCACTGGAAAAAAATCCTGGCCGTGGAAGCCGTACTTACGGGTTATATGGACATGCCGTCCGCGTACCGGGTTCAGAGGCCGAAAGTTCCAGGCGTAGCACCCCGAGAAATTGAAGCTACGGCTCCAGCACCCGGAACTTCCGGCCTCTGAGCCCGGAACGGACGGTATGTCTATATAGCCCGTAACTTTTTTCAGTATCGAGATGTGAATGAATGATAAAACCAAAAATCAATCCAGAAAACGCGGAACGCGCAACGTACACAATAGGTCGTATTCGATAGTGGTTCGATGTATCGTTTGGTTCAAAACAATAGAACGAAACCTCAAAAAAAAAATTTAGAATTTACGTTGGAAAACTAAAAATGAGAAAATTCCTAACAATTTCAGTCTTCATTACCATTTTTTACTCATGAGTTTCAAAAACCTACATCACAAAAAACCCGTTCCAGCCAGATTACTCGATGGACTTTTGAGGCTATGTTAACACGTTGAACCGATCGACATCGAGACAATCTCGCCTGTTTTGATGTGTCGAATACGATCCATAAGTGAATTTCCGCGAGTGGATCTGGGGAAGTTTTTGAATTAAAATAGCAGTAAAAAAGGCAGATTTTTGACGTAAAAATGAAGAAATATATTTTGCAAAGTGTAAAGTATCTAATTTTTCTAAGAAAGGGGGTGGAAGGGGCGAGAAGGAGGGGACCTGACATGTAATGTGGGGGAGAAGAGATCTAAAATGTATATTTTAAGCGTGACATAATCTACAAACATCTCCACATCGAGCGACATAACAATGAATGATGGAACCAAGAATCAATCTAGAAGTCGCGGAGACTTCAACGCTCGGTGTACACAATAGGCGAAAAAGAGTTTTTCAAAGAGAGAGATGGCGTGTTTCCGAACTGGGTATTTCATTCGTTTTTACTGCTTCTACTATGGTTTCGATCAGATCAACCGTAATCTAGGCTAGGAGGACTAACCTGAAAAATTTGGTTCCGAACTACGATTAGAATTCCAGGCACAAGAATTTACTCCTTTTCTCACCTAACATTACGTATGTATAACTGAATAAAACATGGGTGTCCGACAGAGTCTTAAAATTAACTAACCAGACGTAGTGCTTGCTCACTACTTGATTGTGACGAAACTTTGATCGCGCAATTGAAGTTGTACTTACACTTATTGCCTTCTTGGGCTCCGAACGCGATGAGCAGCCTCACTAGCGCCTCGTTGCGCCCTAGATAGGCCACATCCAGCAGAGAAAACCCGTCACTGTTCACCCTGTAAAGAAGCACATTTATAATCAATCTAATTATTCTTAAATAATGGACCACTAGACAAGGTAAGAGTTTCAGCAATCTGATACATTATATAATTTATGGATTGCAGTAACAATTTTAAATTGTTTCTACAGACCACGTCTTGATAATATTACCAGATGAAGGAATATCGGAAAAATTTAATGTTTGGATTTGCTTGATGAAAATCTGCACTTCGTTCTTTATTTCAAATGATTCATCAACTATACATAATCGACGAGATTGGCTCAGTTGTGTGTGCCAGAGAGCGATGCGTCAAAATTATTATCTTATATTAAACTGAGACTTGATCGCGTTTAAAATTTGAAAATGACTCATTTTCGAAGTCTGCGTTAAGAAGAATGCAATTACAAGGACAGAGCAGGGAATGAAGGTTCAGATCCGTGAAAGTAGGTAAACTTACTGGTTCAAGTTGACAGTGTTGGTTTCGAGGATAGTTCTTGCCTTTTCCAAGTGCCCATGTTCGACGGCAGCAAAAAGGGCTGAAACATTAATAATGCTCTGTCAAGAAATGGTGGGCACAATGAGGTCAGTTTTAGTATACCAAACATTTTGGAAATATTTTCAGAAAACGCTTTACTTTTTCCCAAGGCTAGTAATTTAGCTAATCTTCCCTTTTTTCTATGTTTTATTTTAGAAATCTAAGGCCAACTCTAGACAAGAGGTTTGAAAAAGTATTAAAGTCAAAAATGCTTACCTTAATATGAAAATGTTTACCACGAAGAGAATAAAAAATGGGTAATGTTTTTCGAGGCAAGTGGCTCAGCAACATTCTGTAATTGTAGGAGCTAAAATTTCTTGCTCGGTTTAGAAACAACGTATGTATTATTATTTGCTCTGTGCCTATACGTGTTTTCACGGATGAGCCAGAAATTGTAGTTCCTAAATTGCAAAATGTTGTCTATTGGATTCTTGCAAAAGAACGGGTGTACCAATTTTTTGGCACCGTGACGAAATTGACGAGGAATTCGCTTTAGGTATATTTGTACAGTATTTTTCCGAGAACATGTGTGCAAGACGATAAATTAAAAGAAAATCTACTAGATGCAAAGAATTTGTGCACCCAGGTTGAGTACGTAATTCAAACTTTCAGACGTGTTTTATCATTTCTTGAACGTGATGCCTTATATTTCCGGCAAGATTTTAGCGACGCCCTGCTCAACTAATCTGACGGTTGAAAAACTGGAACATTCGCGTGTGCTTGAAATGGGAGATGATTGGATCAGTTACGGGAAAACATAAAAATATAATGATGATGAAAAATGAATATGAATGGAAGGTTAAAAAATGTAAATAAAAACGGATGGAATGGATGCATACCATGCAAATGTATATCAATGTGTTGAATTTTTTTTCTCCTTGGAACCGGATTTTCAGGGCCAACATTTTCCATCGCTTCTTTCTCAGATGCACTGACCTCTGCGGGAAAACAAAACAAAAAAGGAAAAAATAATAAAAAAGGAACAAAACAAAATAGGGCAAAATCAAAACGGAACAAAAAAATCATACCAAAAACGTAATAGAAAATCGTCAAACTAAAAATTAAATGAATAAAAGAGACGTGATAAAAATGAGATGAAAATGTACCAAACGGAGATGATAAAAAAAAAAAAAAAAAACACAAAGAGACCAAACAATACTATAAATCAACGAATATGGAAAGGAGCAAGATAGAAATTGACGAAACGACTGACGACTTTGGAAAATCACACGTGACCTCGAATGAAAATCTCGAAATCATCGCGGAACAGTCGCTCTGCAATGAAAATCATTCGACATAGTTGGCATATGAAGTAATAACACGTCATTCTGAAGGTTAGTAACCTCATAAGCGGCGCAAAGCGTTTGAAACGAGATAAAACTCTGAATTAGTGTCTTATCGTCATCCACATGCGTATGAGAGAAAAAACGATTTTCAACGTCATGATGTTCGACTTCTGCGCCTTTAAAAAATAGCAATTTCACACCAAAAACTCGAAATAAACACCCTCTGAAGATATTCCAAAAGGAAGTACACATCATCTCGTCACCTTCCGGCCAAAGTGTCACAAGCGCCATGCGACGTTTAAAAATCTCCGCCACCATTATATTTTCTTACAGAAAAATTGTTCAACGAAGCTGGCCGAAAATTTCACTGAATTTTATCGGCAGCACAAAGAAAATTCAGTGAAATTTTCGGACAGCTCCGTTGAACAATTTCTCTGTAGCAAAATATGATGGTGGCGGAAATTTTTAAACGTCGCATGACGCTTGTGATACTTTGGCCGGATGGTGACGATCCGCGCTTGAAAAAAGCACGTAGCCTGCCACGGGCCGCGGCACACAGTGGATCGAGTTAATAGAAGAGGTCGGACAAAATCCTAAAACTTCAAACGCTTATAACTCCGTTTATATAAAACTAATGAGGTTTGAAAGGTGATTCCATTATTGGTTTCCTCATGAAATTTTCTGCAGTAAGCACCCCTTGAAATTTAATTTGTGACGAAATAAACATCAAAATTAGAAGTTTTAGTCAAAAATTTCATGTCCGACCTCTCTAGCTGACTCGATCCACTGTGCGGCACTAGGAGTTTGATTATCTGCACCCCTCTGGATTCCCTCTAAATTCTGAAGAAAAAGAGGAGGGTGAAGGCACTTTTAGTGTCCGAAAGTTGATTTTGCTTTTAACTCTATACTGAGAGAAGTTAAATTCAAATAAAAACAGCTGTTGGCTAATCGCCATTAAATCTGCAGGGGATCGGATAACGATTACGTCATACACTGTTCTGTATACGTTCGTTACGTCTTGACGTCACGCTAACGCGATTCAAAATGCCAGTGTGTAAACTGGGTGAAATGCGAGCTCCTCTTTGAAGAGCGTTAACCATTATGGCAGGTGACTACAGGTGCAACATCCTTTTGCGAACATCGCAAAATTTTCCGCGAAAGTTCCGAATCATTTTCCGTTGCTCGTAAAAATGCCGACTCATGGTGACAACGTCTCTCCCGCCTTCGTCATTGGACGGGGAACTTCTTCGAAGTTACGCCATTCCGTAAAAGCCCGAGTGCGGACACCGTTACCTTCACTAATTAAGTTAGAGTGTAAGTGCATTTCCGATGTGGTCAAATTTTAGGAAAAGAGATGGATTTTCTGATGGGCGGCAACGAAAATAAAGAATATAATATAATACGGGAAGATTTTCATGCAAAACTACAACCGAAACGATTTGGAAATGCGATATCGATATCATTTTGTGATTACTGATACAACGAGATCACTGAATTCGCAAACATTTATGTGGCTAACTATGCTTTTCATACAACATTTGAGTCCCTACACTGGAAAAAAACACATTGGATCTAGAGTCCAGACTCTTAAAAACATGGACAAGAAAAAATACTCTTGATTCAATCGGATTTTTGCTTAAATCAAGAACCAAGCCTCTTAATTTGAGCGGATTTCCTTTTGATTTAAGCAAAAATCTGATTGAATCGAGAGTATTTTTTCTTGTCAATCTTTTCAAGAGTCTGGACTCTAGATCCAATGTGTTTTTATTCCCAGTGTAAATTGAGTTATTGGATCAGTCAATTTATGTATTTCAATACCTCAATAATATTGATCAGAGAAAATTTATAATAATAATCAAAACACGTGTACTTATGAGTGATTATTTAACATCCATTGAGTTGATCAATTGATCATCATAACTTTGGTCATAAATATTGTTTCCAAAGCGATGAGGCATATTGATTCATTCCGTTCCAATTATGTAAAACTGACCAAAATTAACGAGGTAAGTACACAAAACTATGAAACACGACATTTTGTAACAGATACTAATGCAATTTTAGCAAAGTTTTGTCAGACTCTGATAAAACTTGGATAAAACTTGCATTAGACTTTGATCAAAAAGCTATTTGCCAAAATTTTGGCCTCGGACTGGTCTAAAAACACGTTACTTCTCGAAGGGAAAATCAAAGGCAGGCGCCGTTGTAGTTCGCCGTACTGAGGAAAAACACCTCGTGCGCATTTGCCGCCGAATTTTTTCTGATAAAATACGATTATTTTCTGATAAAACTCTACGGTATCATTCTTCATCGGCTAAACTGAGAGATATAGATGCCAAAATATAAAAAACTTGCACTGGAAAAAAACACATTGGATCTAGAGTCCAGACTCTTAAAAACATCGACAAGAAAAAGTACTCTTGATTCAATCAGATTTAAGCTTAAATCAAAAGGAAATCCGCTCACATTAAGAGGCTTGGTTCTTGATTTGAGCAAAATTCCGATTGACTCAAGAGTATTTTTCCTTGTCGATGTTTTTAAGAGTCTGGACTCTAGATCCAATGTGTTTTTTTTCCAGTAGGGTAAAAACATTATAATAAAAACCTACTCATTTGAGAAGCGCTCGGGAGAGAAGCTGAGGACGGATTACTAAAAATTTCGGTCCGAAAAAACTCGGCCTCCTGGCTCCTCGTGGTGTTCAGGGTGTCTTTGACGCTTTCCGGCGACTGTGTTCTGATAGTCAGGGACTTGCTCCGGTGCACGGCTGCCCTCCTCACCGTGGGCCGCGACCGCGTGGCCGGCGAAACTTCGCGTTTCCGCACGCAAAACGGATCCTCCCGACCCGAACACGGCACCGAAACTTCACACTTGCGTCTCCGGTTGACCGCAACTTCATTCGCGCGAATTACTCGCCGATCAGCGAGACTGCACTGCAAGTTCGCATCGCTGAACCGTCGACGGTTACGCTCAGCGCGGGAGCGTCTTCGCGGTGGTCGAGCCGGAACTTCACTTCTCTCGATCGCAACTTCAGACTTCGGAACTTCAGTCGCGGCCGGAACTTCAACCTCCCGGTTAGGAACTTCAGCTTGCAACGCCGGAACTTGAACCTCTCGATGCGCAACTTCAAGCTTTTCGGCCGGAACCTCGAGTTTCGCAATTGGAACTTGCACTTCAACGGCCGGAACTTCATTCTTCGAGGTTAGAACTTCAGGCTCTTTATTCGCAGCTTCGATTCTGACAGCTTCATCTCTACTGAAATTTGTGGAGTCCTTATTGAGTGCGGTAGAAGGCGCGTCGGAAAAATTGCTTCCTCGCAAAATTCCGCGCGCTCCACCTTTGAGTCCACCTTTGTTGAGGTGCGGAGACATGCTGGCGAGGTACTTCAAACTGGAGCACCGTTCCCCGAAAAACTGCTCGACTTTCGGGGGCACGTTTTGGGGGAGCGAATGGGCCACGAAGATCGGCGTGGAGATCTTCGACGTCGCGTCCACGCCCCTGAGCTTCTGGACTTTCGACACGAAAGTTTGGTCATAGTTCTCTTTATTCTCCTCGAACCTCAGGGCGTTGATGTTCTTTTCGATCTCCTTGATGCTCTTTTCAATGATTTGATTTTGCCGCTTCTCTTCAAGCTTCTCCAAACTTTCAACTTTCGACTTCCGACGCTTGCTCCTGCGGGTTTTGTCTTTGACGTCGTGGTTCTGGACGGGCGCCGACTTCGGAACCGGTTCGACGGGTACATCGCTGCTGATTCCCAAAACCCGGTGGCTCTTCGGGATTTTGTTGGTCATCGGAGGCAGGTCCTCGCACGAGTTTTTGATGCGATCGAACTCGTCCTTGCTGATGTAGAAACTCGTCACTTGGTTCTGGAAATCTTTGAGGACCACGGGTTGGACGCTGGTCTTGTTCATTTTGAAATACTCGTGACCCGACTCCGAACTTGCGTCGCCGGGGGAGAACAACTGCTTGGCGGGAGTCGGGTGTCCCTTCTGATCGAGCAGACTATTAATTTTTTGATCACGCACCGCGTACGAGTCCGTTATGTCCCTCAAGGGCAGGAAGTTGCTGACGACTTTCTTGTTTTTCTTCGACTTGATTTTCGCCTCCCCCTCCCCGACCTTCGAACCCTTGAGCTTGAGCATGTTCCGCAGCTTGGACTCCCCCTTGCTGGTTTTCTCGAAGAGGGCGCGAACTTTGACTTGCAGCTCGGGGTCCGGCGGCACTGCGTTCGTAACGTCATCGTCCTCGAGCGATTCGTCGTTCAGGGCCTCGTTTTCGTAGCAGTGGAGCGCGGGCGGTGACTCGTGGAAGGACTCGCATTTCTCGTAACTGATCACTCGAGCTAGGGGTTTCTCTAAATTGTCACTGTCATGCTGAAATCTCACCGACTTCTTCCGCAAATGCTCCGTGGTTTCCAGCGTGTCCACGATGTCCGAGTTCCTCGCTGTGTCGGAATTTATCACCGTATTCAGGTTCGTGACAACTTCCAGGTTCCTGGCTGTTTCCGGTCTGGGGCCCAGATTTCCGGTATTTATCTGGAATTTCCCGCTCAAAAATCCGTAGTCATCGTCGGCTGGGTTTCCTTTTTCCGCCGGAAGTCCGCTATTTTGCGCCGAGTTTTCACTCGAAGGCTCGGAGGCAGCTTGTTGACTGAT